TTGTTCCTATTGTCTAACTGTACTGGCAGCCAAATTAGATTGCTTTAGCCACAAGAAGGCTTAAATAGAAAATGTTTTCACTTAAATTTGCAGTGTTGTGTCTCAGTTACAGTAGAAAGAAGTAATTCCATGAACAGATTTAACTGACTGCATCAACCCAGACAGGCAAACAAACTTACACACTCTCACACCCACATTCATACACTCACAGACTTAGCTAAGGTCTGTGTTATTGTACCAGAAAGCCCTTGAGACAGACTCACCCTGTAAAATACACACATATGCTGATAGGATTGTGTAGTTGTAGCTTTCTGTTTGTTCATGTTCCTCTTGGATTGGCTGCGTTGAACAGAGGACCTGCTGTACTGAAATGCACTTCTACCGTATCATTTTATGACTGCACAACCTAAAACTGGATGGAAAATAAATATTGTGCTTCCATTTACTTGAACTGTGCGCAAACTGCTAGGTTTCCATAAAACTCTGAGGGGAAAAATTCTTCTAAGACAAATAGCATACTCTTCATATCAGTTTTGCTGCTTTACATTTGTTCAGATTGACCACTGAGAGATGAGATAGGGAGGGAGTAGTAGAAAAACGGACAGCGATAAATTGCAGGCTTGACCTTCCACCCCTGGATCACCCTGCACACACTCCACTCATGGTTGCCTGCTCAGCTTCCCAAACCACCCAAACTGCTTCACCCTCTACATGGCACTTCCCTTCAGCAATTGCCACCACTGGTTAAGAGGAGTATGGGTATGTTTTAGGTTCTCTTCTCACCAGACCTGTGTTGATCCTTTTTCTGCTTCAAGGTTTAACTGGGCCCTCTTGTGGACAAAAAGAAACACTACACTATTATGTGACAGCATTTAGTTCGTCAACTTTATTTACATCAGTGAAAGAGAGTGGTTCAGAATGTTTTCCTGTTATAATTTTGACTATAACTAGAAAATTTGATATGGTCAAATTTGCAGTCTTACTTTCCCTTCATTGGCTGTAGATCCATGTTAGATCAGACTTTATAGGGGAGACCAGAGTTGTTTTGCACACTGTCACTTTCTGCAATATTAAAGAGCAGTCTGCTAAAACCTGGTACATCACATCTCTCCTTGTTTTAGGTTAATTTGTACACTTGTACATTGTCCCTGTTCAAATAAAGAAATTATTTTTTAAGATTAGGTGCCTAAAGTCATGTTGTGCATTTGTGCCGACCAGCCCCATCACAGCGTTTGGTTGACAATGTTAAAAGGCTATAGTTACAAAAAAGGAAGAAACCAATAGAATTTGAACATGTAAATCAAAAAAAAAAGACAGAAATCATGCACATTTAATAGAATATTAAATTTTTAAGCTACCTTTTGACATTGACCATTCAAACACTAACAACCAGTTGCTAAGTCAGTTTATATATATATATATATATATATATATATATATATATATATATATATATCAAATATGACATTTTATTTTTATTGTTTTAGATGAGTGCTGGCAACCTGTGACCTTCAAAGGACCAAAAGATCAACCCTACCACTGATGACTTAAAGAATTGTAAATGGGCATACCCTGTCATCCCCCCCGGTGGCTGTGGCTCGGAGGCAAAGCAGGTTGTCTGCTAATTGGAAGGTTGTTGCTTCGATCCCCGGCTCCTCATGCCACATGTCGAAGTATCCTTGAGCAAGATACTGAACCCTGAATTGCTGTGTGAATGTGTATGAATGAGTTAGTTTCTGTTTGATGGGCTTTGCCATCATTGTGTGAAAGGGTGAATGTGGCACATAGTGTAAAAGACTAGAAAGGAGCTATACAAGTACAGGTCCATTTACCATTTACCATACTTGTCTGATCTACTTCAAAACTTATATTCTATCTCCTGTTCCCTGCTCTCAATACAGGGCTCCTAGCTGTCCCCAGAGTCAAAAAGAAGTGTGCAGGCCCTTTTCTACAGAGCCATACGGGCCATAGAGAGAAAATACATCCATGTGTTGTCCAAAAAGTTGAAAATACAACAGTGCTTCTCTATTAGTGCAGAGCAAAGCAACGTAAACCAAACTTCAAAATTATATTCCAGTGCACGCCAGGATACTAGTATACTGTTTTATTACATATAAAACAAAACAAAAAGGAGCCAACAATGAGTTTCGCCTGATGCTTCATCAGATTTGCTCTGTGGTTAATACAATAGTACAGAAAATATATGTATTTTGGATCTACTGTAGTATTGTAATATTGAAAAATATATCAAATGAAATGCAGTTTTTACACTCTGATATGAATTGTATCACATTGTCTTTTATGAAAGAATATCTATATTTATTCTTGAATGATAGAATTACATTTACTATTGCCTATTGTACTGTATTGGAATGTGAACCTGTTGGATTTGCTGCTAATCAGCACCTGATTATTTAAAGACACACCTGATGGCAATTAAACACAGAGCGACTCTGATGAAGCAACATGCAAAACGCTTTTTGTTTTATCTGTAATGTAATAAAACAGTTTCAATCCCAATATCCCAGTGTGTGCTAGAATATTTTTATTTTTATTTTTATTTTTTTTAGAAAAAATATACATATGGAGGCCACGTTTTACTACATAGAACACTAAAACTGCTATTGCATGTGTACAAAATACAATTAATTCCCACCTTTTGAAAGAAAGTGTAATTCAGGTAAAACAATATGAGATCAATCTGACCAGTGTTAGTTGTAGTTAATCACAGACTATACCATAACATACCACCTCCAATTATTCATGTTTTCATTGTGGGTTGTTATGTGGGATTGTGATTGGGATTGTAATGTAAATAATACATACCATACACACATATCGAAAAATGGTGAATGTTCACACTTTAAAAGCACAGAATTATTAGGAGTCAATCATGTTGTATTCATCCATCTATATCATTTTATACATTGATGGCAATAGGCTGCCAAGTCCACCCACAGGAATAACCTATTCAGTCAACCCCACATAAGTTCTTCATCAAAATGAACCTATGTTGATCACACAGGCTATCAACACACAGTCCGCCCCCGATGTGTAACGAGGCACCCAAAACATTTTGACAAAAAACCTGCTCTGACAACTTTCCATACAATCATAGCTAATACCTTCTGCCATAAAGGCATATTAGGGCTAGTTAAAAACAAAGCAAACATTAGAGTAAAGGTCCAAGGGTACGGCATTAACATGGTTAACTGAGAATGTAACAGAGCAAACAGCTAATGAGTCTCAGAATGTTTAAGAAAGGTTTTGATAACTAGCTAATGAGCTATTTAGAGGAGAACTAACCAAGTTATGTGCATCATTCTCCAGTGCATCTTTTACTGGTTGAACATAAACAGCAACAACAAGATAGTGATGATAATATGGTTTCATCTTTACATAAAAAGAAACAGTGTCCATTATCCTTGTGGCAGGTTGGTTGTCTCAACCATATACCACTTGTGCCTCTTTGTTGTTTTTTGCCCTTCTGTGTGGTCATTTTATATCTCTGTCATTGTTTTGTGTACTTTGTTTTTTTGGACAACAAATGTTGACAGTCACTTCAAACAGAGGTTCAGGCCTACAGTAAGCCCTCCCTGCTCTGTGCCTGCGCTCAGTAGCCCATTCAGCAATCCACCCATGCCCTTAGTAGTAAGTACATGTCTGTCCTGCCAAAGAGACTATTGCTTACCTCCTGAAAAACCTCTGTTTGTTGTCCAACAGCCAGGAGCCCCGTCTCTCTTTCTCTCTCCTTTGATCTCTCTTTTCAATATCAAGTCTTTCTGTGCTGGACCTAAGGCCGGGCTGGGACTTCTCTCTCTCCCTTCCTCCCTCCTGGAACTGGATCTCTATCCTCCAGGGGTTTTAGTCTCATCTCTCTGTCTTGTCTCTTCTTCCCCTTTGTAAGTGATGTGTTTGAGCTTTGACTCTTAATGCAGTCTGTCCTCTTTCCAGGCCTTGGTGGTGGAGAGCAGATTGTGTGGCTCAGATCCTATCTGTTTGGCAGCACCTAGAAGTTTCTCAACATCTTCCCAAATCCATATACAAATGAATCCGCCATTCTGAATTTCTATATTGATATTTTACTATTATTATTTTAGCCTATTCTGCACACATGGCATCTACTGCATGCCTGTCCATCCTGGAAGAATAATCCCTCCTCTGTCTCTTCCTGAGGTTTCATCCTTGTGTATCAGTGACACTGACAATAAAAACATAATCATACATTACTGTTAATCCTCTCCATAAGTGTAGATATTTATTGCACCTGTGGCAGCAGGGAGTGGCTGTTTGAAGGTGGACAAAGAGGATGACGATGAAGATGCAGCCTCTGTCCGGTCAGGCTGGTTATAAGGAATTTTGTTCAGGAATCAGGAAATGGCGTTTTTCACATCATGTCTAGTTTCAGAGACAAGATGCGTGCCATTGCTATTGTCTGTTGTTTGCCATCGATTTACATACCAGTACCACAGTCATTGGGTTCACCCCACCCTGTGGCCGCTTTATGGCTCATGGCTGCCTCTATGCGTTGTATGTACAAAGACAGCATTCGAGATATGATTTCTTTAACACTAAAGTTATTATCAATCTCCAAATGTGTGATCACAGCCTCTGTGTCGAACATGTGTAGGTTAAAGTTTGGGACACATTGAGGCTTTAATGCTATTTATTCATTGCCATGCTTTAAGCGTTACAATTTATGCCAGCATTGTGAGCTTATTTATGAATATAATTTAATCAGATACAAATCATTCAAACATTGTCTCTCTAACTTCTGATTTCAGTGCACTCTGAGGTTTCTGCACTGGATGTGTCTGTTACCCAATCGGTTTTGTCCCTCTATCCCCAGGGCTTTATGGGTCCGGTTTAGCTGGTTATGTGGGATTTCAGCAGAACAGGAATATCAAGGGAGAACTTGCCCAGGCCTCTGTGTTTGTGTTCCTCAAGGGGACAACCGCTCCAACCGGTTTTCTAGGGTGGAGAGATGAGAGAAGGGAGGGTGTGGGGCGTTCTCCCTCACCTCATTCTCCTCTCTCTTTCTCTCTTCGTTATTGCGCATTCTCTTCCTCTGTCTCAGTGTAACTCCGTCCATCTCTGAAGTCTGAACGAGCAAAAGCTGTGCCCAGCAGCGAACGGCTGAAGGGGTCCTTGGCTGTATGAGGTGAGTTACCACTGACTGAGCTCTAAGGTGTTGCCCGAGGGCTGGAATAGGTTGGCTGACAGGTGGGTAGAGTAGGTGCAGGTATGTGCGGCTGGGAGGATTGAGCTGGCATACATGATCGTGGCCTTATCAGGCCTTTCAGTGAGTGTGTGTGGGTGTGAGCTGAGTTTTTTTTAGATTACCACACTTTGTTCACATAATGTTATTATAAAATGTAAGCAGGCATATATTTGCAATATAGCAGCAAGTCTATATAGATAGATATAAAGCTGCTTGTCAATGATAAGATACATGGAGGCCTTTAATTAAGCAAACACAATGTGCAATACAGCAACTCTTCTACATGAGCTCAGGGTTCATATTGAGGACATTAGACATAAAAGATGTAGATGTAGCTTGTGTGTGTGTGTGTGTGTGTGTGTGTGTGTGTGTGTGTGTGTGTGTGTGTGTGTGTGTGTGTGTGTGTGTGTGTGTGTGTGTGTGTGTGTGTGTGTGTGTGTGTGTGTGTGTGTGTGTGTGTGTGTGTGTGTGTGTGTGTGTGTGTGTGTGTGTGTGTGTGTGTGTGTGTGTGTGTGTGTGTGTGTGTGTGTGTGTGTGTGTGTGTGTGTATGTAGGTGTATGTGTGTATGTAGGCGTGTGTGTGTGTGTGTGTGTGTGTGTGTGTGTGTGTGTGTGTGTGTGTGTGTTTGTGTATGTAGGTGTACGTGTGTATGTAGGCGTGTGTGTGTGCGTGTGTGTGTGTGTGTGTGTGTGTGTGTGTGTAGGGTGGAGTTCATACACAAGTGCAACAGACTGAAGTTTTTTATATTAAAATATCATTCATCATTATTTGCATAAAAGTCATGTTCTCTCATTATGCCTGTTTCTGTGCTTGTCACCGTTAAAATAAAGGATTGACATTAATGGTCATTCCTGTCACATTGTTAGTCAGTCGAGATGACAATGAGAAGCCACAGGAGTATTGAAAGCAAAGCAGTTCCGACAATAGCTCCGAGTGGCATTTTTTTAGAACCCGGCTGCTCCGTTTGATTGGAGCAGCATCAGCTGATATTGTGTGACAGAGGTGAATGAGGCCTGGATTCCAAAACATCCGCTCACAACTTAAGTCGGGTTTCAATCAAACAACAAACATCTGAGCTGATGGGAGGTGTTTGAGAACATTTACGGCAGTGAGATATGCAGCCAGGTTGTTATCTGCACAGCCTCTCTATAGGTGTGTGGCATCCAGGACTACATATTTGCAGAGAATGTGATAATACCTCAGTCAAGAGTGGGAGAAGTATGATGCAGTGGTGTCAGAATAATAGTTAGACACAGTGACAAGCGTACGTGTGTGTGTGTGTGTGTGTGTGTGTGTGTGTGTGTGTGTGTGTGTGTGTGTGTGAATAATGATCTAGAGACAGCAGAGCAGACACATAAAGGCAGACAGGTCTTTTCTTGCTCTGCTGAGGTGATCTGAACAGCCATTTGCCTGACATATCCCGACATGTCGAGGGAGCCTGATCCACGCTGATCAAAATGCTAAATAGTACTCATTGCATGTGTTTGTGCACATACAGAGCGTGTGTGTGTGTGTGTGTGTGTGTGTGTGTGTGTGTGTGTGTGTGTGTGTGTGTGTGTGTGTGTGTTGTTGCGACAGAGAGCAAAGGAAACACATATTAAGGATTCCAGTTTGCAGACAAAAAAAAGTTTGTTTCAATAAAGTATACACTCTTATTAGTTTCAGATTGACACCATGTGATGTGCACACACACATGCGCAAACTGTAAAAGCTGTGCTTAATGCACATGAAACAAACTGCAGACGGAAGTCTCACCAGGCAGGACCAGTCTAACTAGTTTCAATCATCGTTGCTATAACAACGAAATTTGCTCCCACATTTGTGTACGGCTTGTGAAAGTATAGTGCCAGCAAAATGTGCAGTGCTGTACCTCTACATGCACGACGCAGTCCTCAGGCTGTAACGCCCAACTGATTTATTGTGGTTCCACTCCATTTGTACATTGATGTTGAAGTAGGGCGGGTGAAGGGTCGCAATGTAGTCAAGACATCAATAATTGGCCTATTTAAAATGGTGGAATAAATGGTTGAAATATGTGGATCACAGTTCAAAAATATTGAAGGATTTGGGCTTGAGGAGGAGGCCCCTTATGTGTGTAGGTATGTGCATATGTATACGTATATGTATATAGGTGCACATATAACATATATGTTATAAAGTGCCATCTAAGGTGCTAATCTTAACCCTGACTAAGCTGTTTCAGCATAAATGCATCACAACTTTCTGCGTAGTGCTCTTTATATATTTTTTGGCCCTGCCACTCTAAACAGCCTGAATCTGCCACTGTTTATATATATTAATTTTGCTTGCTATCATTTTATCTCACTATAAAATATATAAATATTGCAAGAATGCTATAATTATTAACAACATCATATGTAAGCAAATGTAAAATGATGTATACTCTTGCACTCTTGTAATAATGTATTTAGAAGAAGGGTCATAATGTCAAATCCAGACAAGTCTAATACATTTAGAAGGGAAATTCGGTTTAAAAGCATGCAATACTTTTTAATTCTATCAAAATATATAAAACACATTATATCTTTCTTTTGCTGTAGAGTCTGACTCAAGGTCAAATTAGAGTACCATGGCAATGGAGTGCTTCAACAGCCTTCTCCTGAAACTGCGGGAGGTCCACGAGCGGGAAGTAGAGGGTGAGTGGAAATCATGAGAGCAGCAGCCACTGGTGACACACAAAGAAGAGAGAGAAGTTGTAATGCAGCTGAAATACAATCTCATCCTCTTCTTAACCAGGTGTGTTGTGTTTTTGACTTACAGGGTGGCAGGCGAAAATCCAAGAGCTGTCCAACAAGAAGGGCTGGTGAGTGGGTTCTTAATTTCAGCGAGGTCTCTGGGTGATCATGTTTAGACAACGCTAACAAGTTATTCAAGTTTAATGGTACACAAGATCAGCCCTTTGGGAGCTGCGCTCAGGCTCTTTGTGTGGCCCAGGTAGGCAGGCATGCTGGTCCTGCACCTGGCTCTGTGTTGGTCCATATCGTGTTTAGCTTGTAAGGAGTCTCATGTTGTAACAAGTCATTCAGTCTACCACTGAGTCACAAAATCTCTGTTTCGTTTCTGCTTAGAAGCAGTGAAAAAAAACAACTGGCAAAGCGGGATCACTTTAGATTTTCGATAAAAATGGAAGCTTGTTCAATTAATTGAGTCTTTCAGTTTCAAAACATCTCATTACTATCAAAATTTTGTTCCACTTATTCTCAGTACTTCATTAATTTACTGAAGTACTGTATTTAAGTGCAATTTTAACTTTTTAACTTACTTGAACATTGAGTAAATTACCCATTCCATTCAGTTAACTGAACTTAAAAGTAAGAATAATTGTATCAAAGTCTTATGCAGCACTTATATGAACTTATTTCAATGTATCTGAATAAAGTAAGATATTTACTTTTAACAAATGTTACTGCTTAAGTTGAATTTACTCAGTTTCTTTAGTTCTACTAAACCAAATTATTACCTTACTTGTCAGCTGACGTAAGATAACTTAATAACTTAAAATTAATCGATTATCAAAATAGTAGCAAATTCATTTTCTGTGGACCAACTTATCTAATTGTCACTGCTGTAATGCTGTAGCCTACGTTATATGAGTAACATCAAATCTTTCACGATGATCTGAAATCTGAAGCATTATAGCACAAATTGAATTAGTGGAACAAACTGGAAATATATATTACCGCTACTTAAAATACTGCACAAATTTAAATTCAAAACAACTGAGTTATTACTACAGCAGTTTCCTATTTGATACTTAAAGTACATTTTGTTAATAATACTTTTACTTAGAAGTAGAATGCAGTCATGAGTTTTATAGTATGTTCTTTACCTCTTGCAGCACTTAAAAAGAAGTAGAGTAATAGAAAGAAATGCAGCAACAGCCTTGAAACTAAAGGGAAATAGAATATGTGAAGTAGCCTGTTGTAGTGTTAGTATTTCTGTCTGATTCTTCAGCCATATTGCTTGTTGTTTCGGAATAAATGTTCCAGAGAATATGTATTAGTCTGTGTCTCACTGATCACAGAACGATTGACATACTATCTGATCGGCATTAAGTTTTGATAGTAGACTCATTCCTTTTTTGTGTGTCCCATTGTGTGTGTGTGTGTGCATGCATGTAAACAGTGACACAAAGCGAATGGAGGAACTGTTCAGCAAAAACCAGCAGATGAAAGAACAGCAGAGATTACTTACCGAGAACATCAAGACACTGGAGAACAGGTACTGATGTTAAATTCCACTTCTGTTTGAGTGTGTATACAGTATACCATATGGGAATCAAGGCCTCCTCATGAAAATGCCATTTGGCATCACTAAACAATCAGGTGTCCCAAGCCAAGGAAAGGTGAACCTAAAGGTACAGCATGTAACATTCAAGAGCTGTTTTTATCTACAGAGGGAGTCTGCCATGTCGAACCGCCATGTTTCTACAGTAGCCCAGAACGGACAGCACAAAGAATAGCCTTTTTCAAGAATTTTGCAACCACCATAGTTTCTCCCACACACTTGGAATGGGAAGGTGAGGCAGCTGTTGCCACTAAATCATACACTTAAAGCAGCTATAATCTTTTCTTTATTATAAACCTAAGAAAAGATCTGTGGAACTATTGCTGAACCAGATTCACTGTGGCCATGATGATGGTAAATAATACTTTAACAAGGTACAAGTAGAAAAGAGTCATCAAGTCAGCAAACTGACTCAGCAATGTCTAAAAGTCGGACCAAGTAAAGCTGTGGCAGTAAAACCTCAGTGTACTGAACTGAGAAATGGTGCATTTTATTGCTTATAAATTCAACTTCAAACTCTGCACATACACCATTCTGCACATCACACTGTAGGAACAAGAGAATCTCATTTGTGACTGGAGGGTGGCTTTAAGATTAGTGTTTCTGATGTTGTGTGGTTTTCTGCTGCTTGTCCCAGGCTGCGGGCGGGGCTGTGTGACAGATGTACAGTGACTCAAGAGGTAGCCAAGAGAAGACAGCAGGAATTTGAAGCCTCACAAATACAGAGCATCCAGCACATGTCTATACTAGGTATTCTGTTTATGTGTGTTCTTCTAATCAATGACCAAACCATCCCTCTGTTTGTCCTCCATCACTTGTCTCTTGTATCACATCTCTTATCAGCCTTGCATCCCTACCTAAGCATTTACTTCTCTTTGCCTTCTGGCATTTGGTTGTGGCTTCCCAGAACTTTCTTTAAACTACCTATCCATGTTTTTCCTTTCCCTTAAAATGTTTTAAAGACAACATTGTTGGTAAAACAATGCTGTAGGTAACTAACCAGCCGCTGGTTAGTGTAGCTTAACAAACAGTGGAAACATGTTGTTACCTTTGGAGAGCTGGAGGCTAGCCATTATCAGTCTATGTATTAAAGCTGCAGTAGGACGTTTTTATAAAAACAGCTTTTTGTCATCTTTGCTGAAACGTTCACTATATCCTGACAGTAGAACATGAGACGGATAATCTGTAAAAAAGACTGGTTCCTCTGGCTCCTCCTAGTGCTCTTAATGGTACTTGCAAGAATCCACTGGGCCTGAACAAAAACAACCAATCAGAGCTAAGAAAGATTGAACAAGCAAGAGGATGATCATCCATTAATCAGAAGGTTTGATACCCGGCTCCTCCTGCTGCATGTAGAAGTGTCCCTGAGCAAGATACTGAACCTAAATTGCTCCAGATGCTGTGCATTAGTGTATTAATGTGTGTGAATGAGTATGAGCTTCTATTTGTGATGGCCTTTGCCATCAATATATGAATGTGTGTGAATGGGTGAATGCGGCATGTAGAGTAAAGTGCTTTGAGTAGTTGGAAGTGCAGTCCATTTACCATTTACTTGTGGCGTGTCTTGTAGCGGGAGAAATGACCAACCTGAAAAAGGAGAACAAGAGACTCAGAGATGAGATCAGAAATTTAAGAGCAGCACTCGAGTGAGTATATGGTGTTTAATTATTACGTTTTAGGATGAGTCAACTATTAATGATGATTTTTGTTGTTACTTAAAGTATTTCTCATATTTCTCAAATGGGAGACCACTAAAATAGGATTTGATTTTGATTTTTATAACCAATTTGCAAACAATTATCACCAAAATATCATCAAAATATATACATATATCACATACACAGTTTGCTGTGTGGCCAGTACCTTAACAGTAACCATTTATAACTGATCTCAGTCCACCTGAAATCAGTTTCTCACAGTGTGAGATACTGTGTGTTATGTGTGTAGCAGAGGTCACAGCGAGCACTCCTCCAACAGCAGCACCACCACGGGGGTCAAGCCAAACAGCTCCCCTGACCTTTCACCCTCTTCTGGACCCATGGCCCTCATCACTGCAGCAACCAGCAGGGCCAGCAACAAGCCAGTAGATGGTGATGTTGCAGTGAAAACTGAGGTCGAAACAAGAGCTGAAGGTGAGGATAAAGAAGGGCTGGGAGGAGAAATGTTTCGGATTGTGTGTTGATTATCTCGCTCTCTTTCTTTTTTTTCATACAATACTTAAACAAAACAAAAAGCAAGTATAATCTGCATCACAAACACAAGGATGTGTATGCAATTTACAACAGAGACACGCATGAATGCATACATACATGTACATATACATATATGTCGAATACTATGCCACTGTAATACAAAAACAAATAATTTCTACATCAGTTCAAATTAAATATGTTATCCTATAGCAGTTAAGATAGTTAATTATTTACTATTAATTAATTATTAATTTTGACAATCTTGAAAGCCTCAAATTATATGCCCCCTTCTTACATGAGTTCATGTTTTCTGTATCTTCTCAAACAGAAACTGAACACAGACAAAGGAGAGGGATGAACAGAAACCATTATGTAAGTTTCTAAATCTGCAGTTTTTCTTGTGCATGTCAAAGAAATAGTCTTAGACTTTGGGAAATACTCTTAATCCCTTTCTTGCTGAGAGTTTGATTGACACCACTCTCACATCTGTCTGTTTTATACAGAGATGTAGCCAAGAGACAGTTAGTTTAGCTTTTTTATATAAAACAGCCAGAGTGGCTCTGTCCAAAGGTGAAAAAAACATCCCCTTACCAGCAATTCTAAAGCACACTTATTAAAGGTCCAGTGTGTAACATTTAGGAGGGCCTGTTATATAAGATAAGATAAGATCATCCTTTATTGATGCAACAACAGGGAACATTTGCATTAGAGTTGTATCAATCTTACCATCTAACTCTCAGACAGGGAGTATTTGTCAGAATGTCAAACTTTTACAAGTGTAGTCATTTCTCTTGCTTTCTGCCCTTCTCCATTCTCACAGGACTCATATAAGCCTCTTTCGACTCTCGCATTACCATCCTGGAAGACAGAACCATGCTGTATTGGAGAGAGAGGGTGAGACAGAGGGACATACAGTAGGAAATTGTGTGTGTTGTGGTCTCTGTAAATAATTTTATAAGGAGTACGGTCTAGACCTGCTCTATTTGAAAAGTGTCCTGAGATAACTTCTGTTATGAACTGGCGCTAAAAAAATAAAACTGAATTTAATTTAATTTAATTTAATTGAAATACCAACTGTATCGGAATATGTAAGTAATGAGCGCATGGAACAAATCAGTGATTGATAAGATAAAAAACTGAGATTGTTTTTGGAGGCAAAGAAGAACGATTGAGGGTCAGCATTCAACTTGAATATTGAAGATTCTCTTTTAGTATTCCCTTACACTACTGGTTATTAAAAAAGTCATCACATTACTGTAATGCGCTACTAAAGCTCCTTTTCCCCCACATGGTACGGCGTATCTCAACTCTACTTGCTTTTTTGGTTTTACATTATGAATAGTACATGCTACCTGGTACTTTATTTGGTACCACCTCAGCTGTGGTTCCAAGCGAGCTGAGCCGATACTAAAACGCAATGTGAAAACACAGCAAACCACTGATTGGTTGCCTGAGATGGGACATCCTGCACAAACCTTGCATTTTTAAATAGCCAAGCTACCTGTCTCTGTCTTTCTCTCTTTACCCCATGACGCCCTTCCTCCTCTATCCCTCTTTATCCCCCTCTCCCCCTCCCTCACTAACATCAACCAGTTGAGACAGCCCCCCACCTAGAGCCGGGGTCTGCTCAAGACTTCTGCCTCTTAAAAGGTGTAAACAGGAAAGAGGCCATGTGAACCCCAACCCGATGTATTGCGAATGTGCTATATACATTTCCAAAGAATGTTCCAATAACCTGAAAAATCTCAGCATATCCCACATGCCTTAATCAGGAAATGCTGCATTTGGAATAAGGCCTAATTAGGAATATCCAAATGGAATATGCTGTTTACATAAAATGCGGAATATTCTCATACTACTGGCAGCAATTAGTGTATAGTGTAGGTTACAGTCAGCGAATAAAGACTGCAGCTTCTTAATACCAAAGTAAAGCTAGTAGTTGTAGAGGTACCAAAAGTACTACCTGACACTGTGGCCTAGTGAACTGTACAGACCTTTTAACCTCTAGCTATCTGCCTGGCCTCTGTTTCTCATTTCTAGAGCTCAGATTGTTGAAGGACTAAACCAGCAATCCTCCATCCCTCCTCAAGCTCTCCTTCTTAAGAACGCTTCTTCATCAACTGGTGGAGAAGTGAACCCTAGCAGACATGTGCTCCATGCTCCTGTCCCCTGCCGTCCTCAACCACTCACAAGCGGCCCGGTCACTCTCCCATGGCCCTTATCTGAGTCCCCTGACTGGGTTACTGCAGCTGCTACAGGGTCGAGCCTAGTGGTGCAACCTTCTCCCAAACCAAACCTGCCACGCTTTCCCAACCTGATCCTAACTGCCCAACATGGCAGCCCTAGAAGGCAGAGTTTCGGATCTCTCTGGCACAAGCAGAGCACTCCTAGGGCCCCTGCCGTAGAGCCAACTGTATTGTTCAGGTTGAGGAGTCTGTCAGAGCATGTGGAAAGTAAAACTAAGCCTGAGGAGAAAAAGGAGATCCTACCATCCAAGCCTGAGAGAATCTCTGGAGAAGGGCTCAGAGAGGTGTGCGAGGGGCCTCTGGATCTGTCAGATCGAGGAAAGTCCAAATCCAGCGAAACACCAAGAGAGTATTCACCCTCAGTCATACTAGGTGTAGAGCGAGTACAGAGCAGCCCTGAGAAGGATATGAAGACAAATCCGTCGACACACACACCAGTATCATCACCACATTGCGCCATCCCTCCTTCATCCTCCTCAACACTGCCAGTCAAACAACAAGAGGAAGAGCCTACCAGTGACCATAACCACAAGGTAATTTTTTAGCTTTTAGCACCAAAATTAAAAATCAAAGGCATGGGAGTGATGGTAATGAAGGGACAAACATGATTCATGGTATGATGGTCTTGTCACTGTAGGCAACCATAGAGCAGGAGAAGAAAGAGGAGGTGAATGGAAAGACAGACCAAAGCAATGAGAAGAAGGTGCCTGTCCTCACTATATCTTTACGTCCAGGTAAGCGACTTAGATTCATATGTGTCTGTGTGTGCTGGCGTGTATTTACTGTGACCAAGTGATTAATCAACTTGTGTCATGTTTCTGTAGTAGTAGTGCTGGAGACTCTGAACTCTGCCCTGCAAAAGCAAGAATCCTTATCATCAAATGGCAAGGTAAGGCAATTCTAGCCACCAAAGTAGATACAGTTAGACTGTGCAAAGATATGTATGCTTATTCAGTTTTGCTATTTTTAAAGGAAAATATTAGCTAGGTAAAAGTTTCCTCTGCCCTGTAGCAGTCATCATCACCAGTTGAGACAGTAAGCAGTTGCGAAGATCAGGACGAGGAGGAAAGTGTGTCAGGACAAGAAAGCAACCAGAGCTGCAAGAGGAAGAGGGCATCTGTGGAGACAGAAACCGACAGAGAATCAGACTCAGACAGTAGGCATTACTTCACATTTCTAGTCCTTGGGTGTTTTTCTTCCCTTCTTCCATTCTTTCTTTCTCTCCAGAGTGTGGTCTTCAAATCAAATCACATACCAAAAGCTTAATGGATTAAGCTTTTTTCCCCCCACACACTAATTTCACTTCCGGTTCTGTGAACACTCAGGGATGGTTCAACACTTTGGCTTTCTTGCAAAGAATTTAGATGGGAAGAGGGATACTTTTAACATTGCCAGCATTGAAATCCATTTAAACGTCTAAAGCTCACTAATTATAACACATTATGTCTTGTTTGTTCAATTCATATAAGTATCAGAGTTTATGGGGTGCTCTGTACTGGACATGCCTGCACTTAGCCATGTTTTGTTACTGGTAACGAAGTTAGGCTGGTAACAATAAAACTAATAAGCCAAAATGTGAATGCATGTAAGTCTGATGAATGCTGAATTACTTTATCTCAACTGTTCTGCATGTAGTCTGACGTTTACCCAGGTCTTTTAAATGGACCAGGTCTTGGAAATTACTTCTACTCAACTGATCTGGTCTCAATTAACGTCCCTCTAACTAATTCCTTCTGTTCAGTCTTCATTTATGCTTTACACAAGTAACTCTCACATTTCCTGGGCAATGTTTCTCCCTCACCTGAAGGAACTGTTTGGAACAATTTCCGTTTTTTCCCCTTCACAGACATCCAGCAGGGGAGGAAGATCAAGATCACAGTGAGAAATGAGGAGAAGAGCCCTAGCTAGATATCACATTGACTTGGTGATCTCTCTGCATTACCTGATTGTTTTGGCCACTTGGGGGCAGTGCAACAAGCTGTTAACACAACAATGACGTATATCATCACTTTATAAAGTTGTTCTAGCCAACAGTGGAGTATTTACACATCCAGCAGACACGGAGCAACCTTAGCATTAATTTGGTGTCGTGTCTCTGGCCACCTGATGAATGTGGGTCAAATATTCACTCTGTACTGTTTTGCAGTATCTGTCTCTTTAGTAGCTACATGCTCCACTATGTTCACCTTTTGTTGAAAACAGCTGACTGCTGTCGCTGAAAATGAAACTGATAAACACATTGGTGAACCTTAAAGTTGCATGCCGTAAAATAGAGGATGCTAAAAAACTCAGTAGAGCTGAGGGGAAGTGCGGTCAGGTGATAAATATCTGTTTGTCTCTTCAAGCAACTCCTTTCACATACAAGTAGTATTGTGATCCATAGTGGTGTAGTGGTTCCTGGAGAACAGGGTATACTCATATAGTTTATGCGCCAATTGTGTTTTTAAACATAAAGACACATTTGACACTGACAATTAAAATGAGACTATAAGAATTAAAGTGCTAAAGTCCTCTTATATTAGTTGCAAATTGCTCTATTGCACTAAAATGTAGTATTGCAGCTTGATGGAGATTTAGAAGTGGGTATACCCCATGCTGACCTAAAAATAAGTAGGTATAGTCTATGTATACCTGTGTATACCCTGCACTACACCACTGGCCATAATTAATATAGAAACATTGATCAGGGCAGTTTTCATTTTCTAGGAAATTACTTGGGAAGATTCAACCTCTAAATTGCTTCCTTGATAAAAATGTAATATGTAGCCTACATAAAATGATGAAGCCTACCACAAAATGAAGACCATATCATCATATCATATTGATCATATTTGACAGGACATTTGAAAAAAAACAAAATTTTTATTCTTTTACCTTAAAGCTGTCTGATACAACAGATACACATTTAGTTTTCCCAGGATTTTAGAAAACATTTTTAAAAATAGCCCTAAACTTACTAAATTTCTGCTTTTGGCGACTTGGGACATGGACATATTATCATCTCATAAAGTTGAATGGCTAATTTTAAGGTGATGAAAACACGATTCTTATTTTCAGGTGATTATACACTAATGAAAACATACCTATGAATATTATATTACATTTCTAACAATAGATCCTCCTAAATGTTACACACTGGACCTTTAAAGCATTATTAAACATCAGGGTTTGGCTCAGTGCTGTCTGTAAGGGTCCAGCTTCCTCTTCTGAGCCAGAATTCAATTCAATTCAATTCAATTTTATTTGTATAGCGCCAATTCATAACAGAAGTTATCTCAGGACACTTTTCAAATAGAGCAGGTCTAGACCGAACTCTTTAACATTAATTACAGAGACCCAACAGTACCACCATGAGCAAGCACTTGGCGACAAGGGCAAGGAAAAACTGCCTGTAAGAAGGCAGAAACCTAGGACAGACCCTCCGGCTCTAGGTGGGTGGTCGTCTGTCTCGACCAGTTGGGGTGAGAGAGAGAGAGAGAGAGAACAAAACATACGTGAATATAATAGATAGAAGATGGGAAAATAGATTATATCTGTAAAAAAAATCAACCGTGGTTGATTTTATGATGGGTGTTTACTGTTGGAAGTTTGTTTAGTTTTTGGTTCTGGTAAGTTTCTCGCTACTTCCTTTATTGCCACTGAAAAGCAGAACACAGTGCACTGTGTCTGTTATCTGTTTAAACCAGAAAAGAATAGCCCGTTTTAGTACTATTGTTACAGCAGTTTTAACACCAACTAGAGGGAGATTCCACACTTTACACAATGCAGTGGTCAGTAGAAACTGTCAAAATTGGCCTTGGTTGCAGTAATCTACTAACAGCTCAAAATACATGTTGTAACTACTTATTGATGTTGAAATGCTACACATAGAACTTTTAAAAATGTATGGCGATTGAATGGCCAGTGTGTGGGATTTAGTGGCCTCCAGCAGAGACATTGCAGAGTGCAACCAACTGAATTGCAGTCAACTTCCAAGCATGTAGAAGAAAGTATGGTGGCTGTGACTCTAACCCTAACCCTAACTTAACCCAGATTTTGAAGTAGTACATTTATGTATCACAATAAATGTACAAAGGGCCAGATTGGCATACTACAGTCAAAGGTTCACATCCAGACTCCATCCAGATCTACAACCCTACAAAATGTTCTGATATGTTCAGTGTCAATATTTTGCAACTTGGCAGGTATGTTAATTGACCCTTCGTAACTCCCACCCCTTTTTGCTCTGTGCTCCAATAACAGTTGAGCCTCTGTCAGAAACTCGGTCAACTTTCACCTTTCCTGTACTTAGATATGCTACGTGCTAGGCTCTATGTTTTGAAGATAAAATCGATATATATATAGTTACACTTTAAGTTAGCTTATGTTTTCAAAACATACCTACTGAGCCAACACTTTCAAAACACTAGCTAACTAGCTGACTTATTAATTGCTTGTTAGCAAGTTAGCTAACGTTTTGCTCAAGGACACTTCAGCCCTCTCGGACAAGGAACGTTCCCTCCTAATTACTGGTCCGTTAGCTAATGTGGGTAATGTAATATTACATTTAGTTTCAGTATATTAAAATAGTTTGCTTATGAGCTGGAACATGTAATGTCTTACTCCATACCGTAATTGGTAGGCCTATATGCTGGTATGTCCTGCTATAGCAACAACAGCACAGTCAGGTTTACAATTTCACACATTTTGCAACACATACCAGCCCTGAATATGACCAACTGAAGGCAAGTCTCTGTGCAGTAAACAGCACTATCATTGTCCTGAAACACTGACACAAGCCACGGCCGATAACTAACTTTTAATGTCCCCTCAAATTAAAAATGAGCCTCAACTTTCATCAAAAGTAAACCACTAGGTGTCTGAGTGTCACCTATTTGGGCTTAAAACTATAGTCTTTCTCTCCAGTAGTCAGATATCACACACTCTTCTAGTTTCATGTAACATGCAGTATTTATTCTATAGTTATTTCACTTTCCTGGCATTGCTGTCACTGCATGGCTATTTTTGCTACAGAGCCACCCCTCCTCTCACATCTTAAGTGACCAACAAAGGGAGAAAAAAAGAGAAAAACAGGTTCCTCTTCCTCTTTTTCATTTTCAGAATGCACATATTTTGCAAGTATTAACTTTCCGCTCACAGCTGTGACAGCTTGTGGTAAGCCGGGTGGACAGAGGCGATAAAAACACAGTGACAGAGAGTTAAATAACCTATACTTTTGTGATACAGCACTGTCAGTAGAGCCAATATTTACTCTAAACATGAGATTGTTAGTTTTCATTCTTTTTTAAAAAGTGTGCACGTTTTGATTATTCTATGTGGGCAGTCCTAATGCTGTTATATTGATTTCTACTGTTTCAATCCTGTCTCTCTAATGCAATTAGAATCCATATAGTACAATACTTGGTCAATGGTCAGTAGGCAACAACTTTCCCTGCCATTCACATCTCTCTGTTAATTAAAAGGTGTAAGTGTACTATTGTGCTTTGACTTTTACAGTATGCTAACTCTCAAGCTAAGTGTTGTTGTGTTAAAAGCTCCAAAGCTGTGAAGCTGCAGGGGGTAACTTTTATAAAAATGTTTTTTGTCATGTTTGCTGAAACTTTCACTATATCCTGACAGTAGAACATGAAACAGATAATCTGTAGAAAATCTGGTTCCTCTGGCTCCTCCTAGTGCTCCTAGTGGCATTTACAAGAATGCGGGCCTCTCATTCCCAGGGTGTCAAATACAGATGCTTTGGAACTCTGGGAAGACTCAAAAGTCAACTATCTTCAAGCCACCAACCCAAAGCGTCCTTATATCTTTCTCAGCTCTGATTGGTTGGCCCATTGTCCAGGCCCATCAGGAGCACTAGGAGGAGCCAGAAGAACCTCATTTTTTCACAGATTATCTGTCACATGTACTACTGTCAGGATATAGTGAAAGTTTCAGCAAATATTTATGTAATTTTTTGCTAGTAGTTACCTACGGCAGTTTTAACAGATATGTTTGTTTCTTCGAGTGATATAAAGTGCATTAGAAACTATTGTATGAATGCACTACTTCCAAAATAAATTTCCGTTCTTAAATGTTGCCTCTGTAGCTCCCACTGTGTATAATTCAGCTCTTATATTTTGTACCATGACATACACCTCTTTTACAGTTGGGTGAATTATCTTCAGTGAATGATGATGAGTGTAACATCATGTCACACATTATGTCCAGTACATGCAAAACAGTTCTGGACACCAATGGAAACCAATGGAAACCATCATGTTTGTCATATACTAGTGTGATACACCTTTAATGTTACAGGAAATCTATTTGTAGATTATTAAACTAGGAAACATTTTGAAGTAAAGCTATGTGACTAAAGTCATAGAGTCTAAAATAACAAATTTGCAGGGAAGCAGAGCATTCCATCAACTCTATTCATCTTGAATCTCAGATGAGGTTTGATTCCTCCTAGTGCTCTTAATGGCATTTACAATAATCAACCATACAACAAAGACAATAACCAATTAACCAATAACCGATTGTTGAGTCTCATTCCCAGTGTCTGTGTTTGACGACCTGGGAATGAGACTCAACAATCAGCTATGTTTCTTGGCTCTGATTGGTTGTTTTCGTTCAGGCCCGGTGGATTCTTGTAAATACTATTAGGAGCACTAGAAGGAGCCAGATGAACCAGATTTTTTCACAGATTATCTGTCTCATGTTCTACTGTCAGGATATAGTGAACGTTTCAACAAATATGGCAAAACGTTATTTTTATAAAAGTACTGCAGCTTTAATGCAAATTGAGACACCTGTGTGAACTAAAAGTAAAGATATTTTTAAATCAGTTCTGCCCAACACACATTTTGCAAAGTGCAAACATTAAACACTAAAATATTAAAAATCTAAATTAACCACTGCACACTGGAATGACTTAACCATGACAACGTGTTTTGTCTGTAGCTTCTTCAGGTTCGCTCAGTAAAATGACATGAACACTCACAATTGTGATAAATAGGCTGCATCTGGGTCACATGACTAGTTATCAGTCTTAATTTTTTCTCTTTTTCTTTTTTCAACATGTTTTACAATTTTTTCATATGTGAATGTATATCAAAAAACATAACATTACACAAAATTACAAAATGTAACACTGGTTACTCTTAGCGTTAATTATAAGCTTGATAGTTACTGTATTAAAACTACCTTTGGGTTGTAGGTAAAGCAAGAGCACAAGGACAACTTCATCTGGGTTACTCACTCCACTTTAATGTCCGCTTCAACAGTAGGACAACTGAACACTACTTTACATCATATCACTCCGCCAATCTTAACCATCAGTAACATTACAGGTAACGTGCAGCTATGTATGTCCTCATCTACATTGCAGAACAGAATACAAATATCTTTATATATGTAGTTACCATTAAATAACTATAATAATGCAAATTTAATTAACCTAATAAAGTAATCCACAAAATAAATCTCATCTCATAATAATACAAAAAACATAGCATGATTTATCCAACAGAGTCAAAAGAATTACACCAATAAGAAAACTGATATCCATGTCCGGCTGACTGAATATGGACAAAATTAGAACAAAAACTGTATCACCATCGGCCACTGAAACACCCACATCAGTTGACCACAACTACAATTATGTAAAGTCAAGGCTGTAGCCATAGAGTCAACATTAGGGCGACCAATTATACTATTTGTGTAAAACAGTAACAAAATACAGGAAGTGAGCGAAGAAAAAAACATGCCAGGACTATGATAAAACAGTGGAATATAACACCATGTCCCATCATGCAGAGAAAACTGGTCCCACCAATGTTTACTCAGTTGTCTCTCGAATCTCTTTGTTAATATTTCTTTTGCATAAAGTGTGACAGACTGAGCAGGTCATAAGCAAGTGCAAACTCTGTAAGGGTAAAATACACCTGTGAACAGATTAGACTGTCACCCACGTGTGCAGTAATAATTAATCTATCTGCGGGTCTTTCACCATGGTAAATGAGGAACTCATTTCCCCCTGAAGTTTGAATATAGAAAGCCACAAACTGAGGCCAGTCAGCCAGAGAAAAGGGCTCATTGTGCCTGCAGCCACATATTGCACAACATGGAGACAGTCCTGACCTGAGTCAACACAATAGTCTTAAACAATTCAATTCAATTCAATTTTATTTTATTTGTATAGCGTCAATTCATAACAGAAGTTATCTCAGGACACTTTTCAAATAGAGCAGGTCTAGACCGAACTCTTTATAACATTATTTACAGAGACCCAACAGTACCACCATGAGCAAGACCTTGGCGATGGGGGCAAGGAGAGAGGGAGAAGGGAGAGAGGGGCTGATAAAGAGAGAAGGACAGACAGAGACAAAGGTGCAAAGCAACAACAGTAGCAACAACTATACTAATAGAAATGACTGATGATGATGATGATGAACATGAAGAAGATGATGACAAGAACAACAACGATGGGGGACGATGAACAATAACAGTAACTGTAATAATAATAATAATAATAATAACATCAGTAACATTGGCAGTGGAAGTCAAGCAGGATCATGGTAGGAGGCTCCACCAGGATCCATGAGAACCTGTGAGACGAGAAAAGAAGTAGAAGAAAAAGATGTGACGCCATTGACAGGCGACCGGTGAAACGCAGCATTGCCTGAATAAAATGACAGATTTCTCTGAGTTTGAACATTGTTGGAAACATTTGGGAGAATGTCAGAATCTATGTAGTTGATCAACTCAACTACATATAGAACATAGAGCTAGAGTTTATAGACATTTTAATGCTAACACTCACTAAGACCTTATAGTTTAGCTTACGCAGTAATACAGAGAATACATTTGAGTATTGGTTTTACTTTATTTTCAGTCAGATCATCTGCAGCTGTGAACAGCTGCTGAACACCAATTCTCTCTCTTTATTCCTCCTGCTGGGATTTGTTTTTAGCTTGTATTATCCTTCACCAATTTTTAAACTACTTTTCTCTTCTGTTGTTTTTTTTTTTTTCATTTCAATCTTATCCTGATCTCCCTACAACCCCTCCCACGCCTCTCCATCACTGCAGCCTGGGTATCAGAGGGAACTTGGTTTCTAATCCTGACTGTTGATTAAGGATTATAGATGAAGAGCCTGGAGCTTTTTTCTGACTTGTTATTGCCCGAGCCGCAGCATGTTGTGCCCTGGGGCTGAACCGCCCACGCCTCCCCTCTGCTGCCGCCTGCCTCCACCACCCAGGATGTGCTGAGCATGATAGCTGTCAAACTATCATTTGAATACATGCTAGAGCTGTTCTGCCCACCATGCAAATGAGTCCCTCACACAACACCCATCCATGGCAGCCTTATCCACTCTTCCCGCCATCCAGGGGCGGATCTAGAGGGGTGGCACGCAGACTCTAGATCAATTTTCTTTTATGGCAATGAAATTAGGGGAGAACGTGAAAATTGCAAAATAGTTGCAACTGTTTTTAGTAGTTTTTTTCACATGCTGTTGCAACAACTAGTAACGTTAGAAAAACTACAACACCACACGGGATCTAGCTAGACCGGAAACAAAACAACAGGCACGCTGCACACACTTGTTTAAGAGTAGTAGACGTTACGTTTTGAGTGGATGGCAAGCGCGAGACACGAAATGGATGCCAATAATATTCTGAATGGAAAGTTTACTTTTAAAAAGTTGCCAAATGGTTCCATTGACAAGACCAAAGTGATGTGTGTTTTGTCGTTGTGAACTGAGCTATCATCGCAGCACGTCCAGTCTGAAATACCACTTGATGGCCAAACACACAGCTGATGAGAATTCTCCGCCCCCTCGTCAAAGCCAGGCGATAATGGATGATTTTTCAATAAAAACAACATTTGCACAAAGCAAGCCGAAGAGCATTAAAATGAGAAAAAATAATGGGACAAAAAGAAATCAAGGGACATTTAGAATAGATAAAAATGTGCGATTAATTGCGAGTTAATTATGACATTAATGCGAAAAATCGCGATTAAATATTTTAATCGTTTGACAGTACTAGTTTTTTTTATATAATTCATTTAAACTCAGTGTAGTGAGCTGTAGTGAGGATAAAATCACACTGTTGGGAGTATTCCAAGTAATTTTGTGGAAAAGATGCAGTGATAAGACAAAATTACAAACTCACAGGTATTGGTTGAATCACAGAAAATAACGAAACTTCCTGGAGGAACTGTTAGGTTCAATGAAAACAGAGGTATTTGGAAAACGATGTATTGATTTCTAATACCACCTTTCTATATGTCAATAAAATGCTTTACTAATGTGTCACAATAATGTAAGGATTTTGAGTACAAATATCTTCATTTGGGGGCTTTTCCAAGCAAATAGTAACATTAAAGTCTCCATGCCACCCCATATATGTATTTCTCTAGATCCGCCCCTGCCTCCATCCATCCGCTGCTCCATCTATCATGTTACCAGCATGAGGCTTCATCATTACGTTTGGATACATGTTTTGGCTTAGGTCCAGCAAAGTTTAATAATTGCATACAACAGTAGACAGCATTGAATAAACGTGGGTTAACCGACAGTCATCTTCACCTATTACACAATAAATGTTAGAAACATCCACATCTTTCACTTTTATTCTGCATTTTGACGCAAAGTAATGTCTTATTTAATCTTTTTCCATCAGAGTGTCGCTGCATCTGAAAAAAGCGACAGCGGGCTATTTCAGCCAGTGAAACCAAGAGTACGATCGCTGTGAGCTTGTTCCTCTTTCCACTAGCTCGGTTAGAAGCGCACAGCTCAAACTTCCTCGTACGAGTCCAGTACGCTGAGCTCCGCCGCCCCGTCCGCATCTACAACCCCACCCGGAGCAAGAAGGCTACTGTAAAGGGATGGGACCTCCATGAAAGACATGAGGAATATTCTTTATACGGCCACCCGAGTCTAGAAGATCACATACACCCGTAGAGATAATAGTCCAAGTGATTGAAGCGCGGTAAGTGTCCTCTTGGTCTGTCTTTGCTTGTGTTTGAAGGGCGTCTGAAAGATGATGTAAGAAAAACATAATGTGAAGTTAACGGTTGACAGGTTTAGGGAAAAGTAGGAAAGTTATGTTTTGATGAGGCACAAATGAAGTTTTATGACAGGGATGCTTTAGTTCCAAAAAGAGGAACTTGGAGGTGTTTGAGTTCACAACCAGCGCCTACAGAAGTCAAAGATCAAGAAATAATGGCTAAAGTCCATATAAACACAGTGCTATCACACATTGTCTACATTATATGAAGGGAGGAGGTATTTCTCTTTATTTAGTGCTTAATCTTTGTTCAACTGTGTGTGTGTGTGTGTGTGTGTGTGTGTGTGTGTGTGTGTGTGTGTGTGTGGAGCGTGTGTCTCAGTTATTTTTAGACCGTCAATGTAGACCAGAAACCAGAAAGCAGACTAGTTTCTGTTCTGTTTTCTTCCATTGACTTGCACAACACTGTAAAAAAACAACATATTTTACAGTAAAAAACTGATTGCCAAAACTTAATGTGATAAACACAGTATAACGTTGTCTACTATTTTGGTATAACGGATATTAGTGCTGTTGATTGTCTGTTTTAATCCACATTTTACTTATAGTTTTTATCATCAAAAGAAACAGTTTTGCCATATAAAAATACCATTTGAATGCTTTGACTGTGGTTTTCTGTGCAATTTACATTCTGTGATATAAAACCACTACTTTATTCCGTATAAATTCCTTTAAAATGCCATATAAATAAAGGTTTTGCCATGAGATCTCTCAGTGTTTTACTGTTACAGGAACTTTAACCTAGCAGCTCAAACTCACATTGGCTTGGGCCGACTTCAGAATTCAGTTCCTACAAATAATAATAAATAATATTAAAAAAAGCTTCCCATTACTACTACTTAACAAAGAAATGCAGTTTTTATGTCATAATTTCTTATCACCTTTATTGTCTGCAATCAAACAACAAATGAAGGCCCGGAAGCTGTTCTGTTCCTATCAACCATTTGCATGCATTTGTGGGCACCTTTGCCATTATTTTGCACCAAACAAAACTGAATTGTTTCTTTATTTTAATTGTATATGAAGGGGTGGTTTAAATTGATATAAACCAACTAGAAATAATAATAAAATTTTCTGTCATGGTTTGACATCTTTCACCATAAAATCTACAGACATTTATTACAGTGAATCTCACATGTTGAACAGCCTTAAAGTCACAGACAGACACACTGTAGATGTGTGTGCTCTAAACCTAAAGAGAATGGCTTTAGGAAACATTGCTGTGTAATGTACATTGCAGAAATGCTGATATTACATCATACTGGTGGAGGCCCTGTTAAAATCCCCATCTAGCATTTAACTGGTATCAGCCCTGCATCAGCCACATCATCCTGCTTTTGTCCCAGATGTTGCAAATAGAAAAGTAAAGGGTTAATGCAACCAAAAATGTATGTCACAACAGTCATGGTTGGTTGCTGGAGTGTTTCTTGCTTTGACAGAGAAGCAGAATTTGAATTTTGAAAGTCAAAACTAACTTCCGTCTTGAGAAACAAAACTCTAGAATGATATTTTATCATCCAATCCAAAAAATATGACATATGAAATATGAACATTATGTGTCTTGGCACATGACTGTTTGGTCTGTGCAGCGGCATATCTAGACTTTTTTTTGACTGGGTTGGTACAAAAGGGCCACTGACTTATTCAGGGGTGCCATGAAGCATGTGTCCAAACTTTCCATCATTCCCAATTCAGGCAATTCCATCACTCCCAGTATGCATAAATATTCTAATAACACATTTATACTACATGCAAAAAAACTGCCCAAAAACTGCATGGTACTAGCATTAAGTGTGCATGTCTGCAAAGGGGAGACTTGTGGGTACCCATGTAACCCATTTTCATTTACATATCTCGAGGTCAGAGGTCAAGGGAAAATGGCCATGCCAGTTCTTCCATTGCCAAAATTTAGCCTAACTTTGGCGTTAGTTAGCCCTGTTCTCAACATGCTAGCATGACATAGTACCAATGGATGTGTCATTTAGTTTCATATGATACCAGTATCTTCACTCTAGCTTTAAACCGCCCGCTACAGCCCCTGCAGAGTGGAAGGATAAGGGTCCACCGTATGGACATGCTCCTGGGTCTATACAATACAATGTCAGATAATATTGAAGCTGCCCATCAACATTTCCAAGGGGACAAGATAACATTTTCAAATTTCTTGTTTTGTCCAGCAATTACATTCTGAGAAGCTGGAACCACAGATTTATTCTTGATGGTTGACATAAATGCATTGATGGACTCAAAAAACCCGACCCTGACTAAGCTGTTTCACCATAAATGCAACTTTGCGCATGTTGGCTTCCTTTTTTATGTTTTTTCAACCCAGCCCCTCAAACTGCATCAATGGTTAATCAAGTATCAGGCTATCAATAGAGGATTAGTTTTAAATCAGGCGAATTAATTGTTTCAGCCTTTTCTGTCTTTCTTTCTGTCTTCCGTTCTTTCTTACTTTCTGACAAAATTCATTGGATGACCTGACCTATACAGCACAGCTCTACATAAAAAAAGCTTTGTCCAGCAGAAACAGTAAGGTTCTTTTCTTTCTTTCTTTCTTTCTTTCTTTCTTTCTTTCTTTCTTTCTTTCTCCATCCAACGTCCTGTTGGATGCGTTCCAGACTGACAGGTGATGTTGTTATGGCCCGAGGCGGTCCCAAACAGGTACACACACAGCCTGGCAGCCCTTCACAGCCCACAAAATTTACATCTGAGGAGGAAACATAACAGAGCACACATGAATTATTCCAGTCTTCTGCCTGTGGAGAGTCTCTGCTCTTATAGAATGTGTTAGTGTCCTAAACTAGTTTGGTGATAGGAAAATGCATGGACTCAGGGCAGTTGAACTGCCAGGTAGCTTCTTACTGTTACAGGTACAGGTGGACATGGTGTCTAACTTTTATACTTAGGATAAAGTCTTTCATGTTCATGCCCTCGTATCCTGTTGTGAGCTAGATTAAAAAGCATCCTGAGAGCGTGTGCTGAATATGGCTGCCTGTATCATGGTCTTGTAGATTTATGACTACACACCCCTGATATTGGCTGTGGTGCTCATTTGCATGGTATGATATGATTTGATAAACCTGAACCGGGCCTTTATACAGAAGCTTACCTTACAGTTACACTGTGATAACAGTGACAGCAACGTTCGGAGCAGTCAAGATACTTGTTGTATACATACATGCTGCATGTGCTCTCTGTCACTTTGATCACAAATAGAGACCAAAGCTGAGAGGTGCTGTTCTAAAAGGTGCTGTGATGTTACACAATGCTCTTACGTGCGGCTGACCAGAATTGCCGTCCCCTTTTAGGCCCGTGCTCTTCAAAAGTACAGTGCTTATTTTTGATCGTGTAACTTTTGAAATACGAAATAACACACATCCTCTTTCAAATGAGAGGTTGAATTCATAAAAGACACCCTCGCTCAGGAGGATTTTTGCTGCCACAGCCTCACTTGGTTTGATCTGATGACTAGCTTATGGTGGAGCATGTTAGCAAACTTTAGATAGATGCAGTGCGACTCACATCACTGACTACGTTTACTGACTTTATTACTCTTTTTCTTGTATTACATTTTAGTATGTGGCAGATAAACATGATGTTGTCTTTAATAGGGCTGTGTATTGGCAAGAGTCTGGCGATACGATACAATATATTGCCATATAGTGTGTTTTTTGTCCCTGTAACATCCAACATCATAGCCCTCAGTTTACATTCACAACACTGCTATTCAGCGGTTAGGGGTTCAATCACAAAAATCGATACAGTGCTTTTGAGAATCAATACAATATCACAAAACAAAATACCGCAATACTAATTATACATTTTGGGAAAGAGGCAAATTCAATGTGCCATCTTTATGGCAGTGTATTGGCAAGAGTCTGGCGGTATGATACGTATCATGATACAGGGGTTACGATTCAATATATTGTGATACTGTAAGCAAGGTGACATATTTATATTTTTTATGTTATTATTATATATATTTGCATCTAATTTTAGGAAAACTGTCCATGATATGTACAAAATCTGAGCAAAAAGTCACAACACTACTATCTAGCGGTTGGGGAATCATTCACAAAATCTTTACAGTGTTTTTGAGAATTGATAAAATATCGCAAAACAAAATTTTGCGATACAATATTGTTTTATATTTTCTTACATCCTTGGCCATCTTGTATAACTTGTAATTACCTCTTGCGACCACAGCAGCCAGCAATGCAAAAGTTACATAGTCTTGCTTTACAGCTGCAGTGTGGAGCTTTTGTCTCCCCCTCTGGCAGTAAGAGCTAAACACACAGTGTTCAGTGCTCAATGCAAAATCCACAGTTCAACTTACATTGAATGAGACAAGGAAGCAAACAAAAATAAACTGAAGTGAGGCCTCTTGCATCTGATAGACCAGCTTAGTGATTCTTCGACAACTCTGGTGTTACCTCCCATAGTTTGATGGTGGCTCCACGGAGTAATTAGAGGATGGAGTGCAATTCTGTAGAACATATGAAATACAGACTTTCTGGCTTGTTGCCTGGGGTTAGCAAACTAATAAATCACTCTCAGGAAAGACTGGGCATTGCTGGTCAAAACTCATCAATACTTGATACTGATTCCAGATTTAAAAAGTCACTGTGGAAAGACGTTTGGATTTGGCATGAATGTAAAAGGTGTTTACATTTATATGTAAAAGTCCTGTACTCCAGCTTTAAAGCAATAGTTCAGCATTTTCAGACACTTTACATATCTAATGTTAGCAAAACACTAGCTAGTTATATTTTACTTGAGTATTTTCTTTTCATGCCTGTTTATATGACTCCACTACATTTCAGGGGGAAAGTTGTATCTTTTAATAAAAGACAGTAATACTGTCAATTCTAATGAATTTAAAAAAAATTACTTTACAGATTTTAAGATAAGATTTTTGCATACAAAACAAATGTAGAGTTCATGAAATGATGATGATGAAATAAACTACTAGCATAAGTACAGCTGAAATAATAAGTCAATTAAACAATTAGTCGATTAAACTATTTTGAACTATATTGATAATATTTTTTTATGTAAAAGCATTTCATGGTAAATGTGAAGCTTTGCTGCTTTTGCTTGGATGATTGTAATAATTTGAATGCATTTGTAATAATTTAGAGGGTTGGACTGTTGGTTGGACAAAAGAAGCATTGTGTCACTGAGTAATTGTGAGGAATCCAACCCGGTGTCAGCCTACAGAAATAGCCAATCTTCTCTCTGATGGTCTTGTTTGCTTATGTAGATCATATAGAGGCATCAGTATTGATCTAAATTGTTTCATAACCTGTTTAAAATGTTAAGCTAACATTTTTTAACTTTCACTTGTAATGGAGTATTTTTACAGTGTGTTATTAGTACTTTAACTTAAGTAAAGGATCTGAATACTTCCTCCTCCACTGGTAGGTGATGATATAGACTTGGGATTTCCACCATTGGACATGACGTCATTATTGTCAAACTAGCACAGGCTGGTGGTATGGAGCAAGAGATCATGTTGAAAGTAGTGAATTGATTTTAATTGACATAACACAACCTTTATTCATGTGGGTCCCGCTGACATGAAAGATCTATTTTTATGGATAATGTGGTGTGGACAGTTGACAGAAGTAACAAATGCACAGAACTGAAACTGTCAGCGTAGTCAATGTCTTAGCAATTTCTCATAGATTTATCTTTCATATCCGCAACAAGGGGGAAAATGCTGATGTTGGCATTAAAACATTCTTTTACCAACTTGGCATCCATTTTACTACAATCATTTAGGTTTGATATAGATCTGTAGATGATAAAGCGTTTTTTTTGTCACACAGGCTGTGCTCTTTTGGTGCTCTACTGGTTTAGTCAGTAATTTGTGTGTATCAGGATGACACAACTCATTTGAGCTTGAGCCCGGGTGTGAGGGAACTATTTGAAATGTCTTTCTTAATACTGCAGACACTGATGGTGCAGCACTGTATTGCACCTCAAGACCTCTTGTTTTTTCTATCAAAAATGTTTTGCACTGGTCAGGGGGCTCTTGGCTGAAAAATATTTTTGGGTTTTTTTGTATTTTGTAGAGCTACCAGTTGAAATTTGTATTCAGGTTATATGAAAGTGCTGATTGCCTTCGACATGTAATGTAGCTGCTTTACACACAGATTGAGATAAATGGATAACAGTTACATTTTTACAGAACTAGGGCAATGTGTTAACCTCATGCTGACCTCCATTTTCTATCAGTAAAAACATGACAGCCTGGGAGCCATGTCTGTTAATTAATTGGAGGAGGGTTTGCACCAGAGAGTTGTTAATAGAAGTCAATACTGTCCAAAGAAACCTGACCCTTCTTTGATTAGACATCTAAAGAGGAACAAGGTTTGGAACAGAGAGAAAAGGGGAAGCAAATACATTAACAACACTAATTTTGATCTCAAGAACACAGGAACTTCCTGTGTCAACATGTTCAAATGAAACATTTTCCATTGCTCACCACTGTGCATAAGTAGCACCAGGGCAGTATGCTAATGATTGTGGTAAAGACTGTAGACATTTATTGAGAACCAGATGATGCTTGCAGAAGGATCCCCCCAGATACATAGACACATACAGAGACATATAATGTGTGTCTGATATGTTGTTTCTGCAAACACACTACTAATATGTTGACTGTAGCGTTTCAAGTTTAAACAGACAAAAATACTCCATCCTATAGAAGGTCAACAGTTTCAAAATTGGACACAAGATGTCTCCTACTTCACTGTGAAGTCCATTCTCAGTGGATGTGCACTGGTGGCTTCAAGTTTCTACATCACACTGTATAAACTGATGTCACAAATCCTGCTGGTAGGCCCCACTCTTAAAATCTGATGTTCAATGAGCACATAGAAACTTTCCTCTTTCAGCAGATGAATGTGAAAACATCCTTCTAGAGTCAAACTCTGCACATACAACATTCAAACAGCACACTGTAGGGACAAGAAGAGAAACATGTTTGTGACTGGAGGGGGAGCTTTAATGTTTTGTCATGGTTGGTACTTCCTGTTTGTGGAGTCTTAGCTGTCTAGTGCTCAGAGCTCATCAGCTTCTCTGAAGGTGCACTACAAAACACATTATCACATTTATCTCCCATCACAGACTGGTTCTTTGTTCTTAGTCCTGTTAAACCTATTCCATATAACCACATACACATTTGCATGTAGATACACGTGCAGATACCGTATGATGCAAATAGAAAACCAAGAATAGAATAGACATCTTTATTGTCCACTCGTGGAAAGTCGTATTTGGCTTTACAGACATACATAAACTAACTCTGCCATGAATACATGAGATAAAGACAACAAATAAGTGGGCCTGTAACTGTTCGGATAGAAGTGCTAAAATAATAATTACATAATAAAAACATATCATAAATGTACAGTATGTAATTTCTGCTGCTAATCAAATTTGTTGTGAAGTGGTTGACAGACAGATCCAGCGTGAGGTAGCGGAGGTGACATACTGCGAGTTGATCTGCTCTCATTGGCTGTGCTGTTTTCACTCGTCCGTAGCAGGAAACAATGGAAACTCGCCTTGTCACACACAATCTCTTTCAAGCTACAGAGTACACTAAAATTATTTCTGAAACGATCTTAAGTGAGAAATAGTCAACGCAGTAACAGAATCTTGATCTCTATCTGATCAGCACTGCCTAGTTTGACAGTTTGATCTGAGTTTGGTGCGTTGAGCTAGACAGACTCAGTGAGAATGGAGGTAACTGTTTACTGAGCTCATAAATGAAGTGAGAAGTCGGCTCATTCTCCATTAGAGTGAATGGTATCGGTATGTGATTGCAGCCAATGGAGCTCCACTTGCTGGCCTTTAAATAGAATGCAGGTTTTAAGACACTTCCGCTTTGGCTGCACTTTTCAGACTCTGTCAGTTATATATAATGGGTTCAAATGAAGCGTTACCTGAAGAATATCTAACAACAAAAAGTTATGTGCAACTTTCTCGCCTTCTCCACCCAATATTAGACATTTACAGAAACAGCCAGCCTGGTGAGATTATTATATCTCAGCTGTATGTGACAGTGCTCAACATGTGTCACAGTTTGCAGACACATTCACAGCAGAGAATGCCAACTTCTACATGTTCTGAATAAACATGGGTTTTCAACACTGGATCAGTGAATTAACATTGTACTATACTCCAGAGAAGATCCTCTACAGTGGAAGGAAGAGAACCACTGTGTTTAGGAAGGTCTGGGGAGCCTTAACGCAGTCCACAGTACTGTTTAGTAAATGCCCTCTAGTCTAGAGCCTTCAATACCACAATATTAATATGTGATGTGTTTTACAATAACTACAGAATTACTGACTACAAAAAACAGCAAATGCCATACTCAGTACGTAAATGATTGTTCCAAGTAATATCTACAGTATGAGGAAGGGACTAGTTTTATATTAACTCCTAGTAATATTTGACAAGCATAGTGCCCTTAGTGGTTATAATGTAATAATAAAAAATAACATAATGGTTCATTTTGGCTGTGGCTCAGAGGAAGAGCAGGTCGTCCTTTAATCAGAAGGTTATTGGTTCGATCCCCGGCTCCTGCCGCCACATGTCGAAGTATCCTTGAGCAAGATACTGAACCCCAAATTGCTCCCGATGCCGTGCATCGGTGTGTGAATGTGTGTGAATGAGTTAGTTTCTGTTCAATGGACTTTGCCATCACTGAGTGAATGTGTGTGTAAGGGTGAATGTGGCACGTAGTGTAAAAGCGCTTTGAGTGGTCGGAAGACTAGAAAGGAGATATACAAGTACAGGTCCATTTACCATTTAGTAAAGCTGCAGTAGGTAACTTTTTTTTGTAATATTTACTTAGCCAGAGGAACTTGACTTTTTCACATATGATATCTGTCTCAGGTACTGTCAGGACATAGTGAAAGTTTCAGAAAATAGAAAATACTTATTTTTATAAAAGTTACATACAGTGGCTTTAAGTGTACATGTAAAGACAGTGTCAAGAGACTAGTTCATAACCTATGCTCTTACTGTGGATGTTATGCATCTTGACATTCAGAAATGTGACAAAAGCTTGAAAGTGACTTTGAGACAACAATCGATTTCATAATAGCTATTTATTTACATTAAATCCCATATTCTCATTCTGCATGCTTAGTTCATGTTCCATACTAAATGTTCACAACCTCCAATGCCTTTCACTTTTCTCTAAATAATGTAGATACATATCAAGTCACTCTATGACAAGGAGAACCATAATTCTTTTTTTACATTGTATTTAACATCCCAATGGTGTTTTCCTGCTGGTATCCACTGCCCTCATGTCTTGCTGTTTCTCCTCTGTTGTCCTCCAGCAGAAGGCACCATGGGCTGCGTGGGCTCAAAGAAGGAGCAGGAGCCTCTTAGTAAAGGGACCGGGAACGACGAGCTGCAGAACCGAGCACAGACAGCTCACTATGTCAAAGACCCCACCGCTGGAAACTCCGGGAGCAAAGCTGTAAGCAGTAAAGTTGTGACAGTTACATATCTGAGAAAAGTCAGTGTTCATCACATGCAAACAGTAACTCAACACATATCAAGAATCACATAGAGAATTAATGGTTTCCACCTGGCTTCCTTGAAATGTCCTATTCTAATACAAAGAAGTATTTAGCTCCTTTACTTCCGTTAAAGTCCCAGTATAACAATGTAAAAACATTACATCATCATCATTACAAGTATGTTGTGTATTCAAAATTGAAATGATGTCAGATTGATCTTCTATGAAGATGGTTAAAAGATAAAAGCGACATACAGTCACACATGGCGTTAGCTAACATTAGCTAGCTAATCTACATCAATCGTTTGCTAGCTAGTTACACCTGAAAACTAATGTTAGCTATCTTAAAGGTCCAGTGTATAAGATTTTGTGACATCTAGCGGTGAAGTTGCAGGTCGCAACTCCCTTGCTTCACCCTCCCCTTCTAAGCACGAGAAGGAGAAATTACGGTTGCCACAATACGTGCAAAAAACGTGACCGCCCCTGTGGAGAGCCTAGAAACATGGCGGTTCAACATGGCAGCCTCCGTAGAAGAGGACCTGCTCCCCCTGTAGATGAAAACAGATAATTCTAAGGTAACAAAGACACAATTGTTATTTTCAGGTGATTATACAGTAATGAAAACATACCTATGAAAATGATATTCCATCTCTGACAATAGGTCCTCCTACATGTTACACACTGGACCTTTCAGATGTGACTATATGTATCTATGTACGTCTCTTTTATCTTTTAACCTTCTTCAAAATGTGGTTGTCCTTTCAACATAGATTAGCCAAGCACGTAGCATATCTAAGTATAGCAAAAGCAAAAGATAAGATCGACTTTATTGATCCCACACTGGGGGGAAATCCGCTTGTTACACATCAAGAAACAACACAATACATGAGATATAGTAGAAAAATAAGTATAAGAATTATATGTACACTATATACATATACACACACACACACACACACCTGCGTAATTGACCCTAAATAAAGAATGAGGAAGACAAACTGTGTCAAATGCAGAAACAGTGAAAGTGTGAAGAAGAAACACACTTTCATTGGTTAGCACTTAACATTGATGGGGTTAGTTTTCCTGTGCGTTTCAGAGAGGATAGACTTGTGCCAACATACTCTAATGTGAACATGTCGCTGTGGCTTGTTGTGACTTTGCATACTGACCAGACTTTGATCTGTGCCATGGATTAAGTAGCAGTGTTGCTGCGTGTCAGTGTAGTTCCTCTGGCTACTTCCTGTGTGCTGACTGTAACATCTCTTTCACCCTCAATGAAGAAAGAGGAAGTGACAGAAGCAGAACTAGAGAGCTCTGAGATGTACGATCAAAACTTTAAGTATTGAGCAACACCTAAGACATCCTTCAACTCATACACCCTGTATTGTATCATCTCACTGTATGGCTGTCTGATTTCTCTGCTCGGCTTATTATAGGCTACCTTAGTGTTATACAAACTTTGCACTTTTAACAAACCCACTACAAACCCAGAAACTCGAAGTAAAGATAGCTACAGACAACATCCTGATTCTAAAAGCTGATATGAAAAACTGAATTTCATCACATTGTTGTCTGTGCAATGGTTTTATCTAGCTGAAGTTGGGCCCTAACTGAGTGATAAATGTCCTCAAAAATGTACAAATATATTGGATTATTTTATTGAAATCTTTATTTTCTTTTAAGCTGCAGTAGGCATCCACCGGGCTTGAATGAAAACCAATCAGAGCCGAGAAAGATATAAAGATTCTCATTCCCAGGGTCCCAAAGTGTCTATATTGACGCCCTGGGTTTAAGACTCAACAATTACCTGTCTTTTTTGGCTCTGATTGGTTGTTTTCGATCAGGCCCGGTGGATTCTTGCAAATACCATTAGGAGCACTAGGAGGAGCCAGAGGAACCTGATTTTCTCACAGATTATCTGTCTCATATACTACTGTCAGGATATAGTGAAAGTTTCAGCAAATATGTCAAAAACCTATTTTTATAAAAATTACTGCAGCTTTAATGTAGTAAGTAATATTTCAAGACAATAGGACAATCCTGCTTGGGGCGAGAAAGTAGAGTTTAAGACAATTCTGTACTGAGAGTGAAAATTATACTTATATTAATCACACCCCAAATGAATGCAAATATTGCTCCCTGTCTGCTGGATATTACAATCATAGAATGTAATTAAATTAAATATTTAAAAATGGACGTACTGTCCGTGAAGTCACCCATAGGTTTCTGGAGAGCCGTTGTGAAGCTCAGTGTGGTAGGTTCTGGCTGTCGCCATCTTGGCAGCCGAAAAAAGGGACAAAGAGGTGGCGCTTGGGTGGAGCTGTGGGCTGAATAAAGCCTGGTTACTGAAAACAGCTGCCTGCGACTGTACCCTCCTGTCACTCAAAGCAGCCACTCCTTTAATTATGCATAACTTTAAACGTTAATATAATTTAAATGGGTGAGTTATATAAAAATGCACTCCTGTACAGTTGTCATGAATGGGGGAAATTAGCTATAAAAAGCAAAAGCATTTTTTGTACCAGGCTGTAAACATGTTTATTTCTGCTGTAAAGTTGGGGCATTTTAATATTTGGCCTTATAGAGACTGACACACTTCTTGAGCCAGCCTCAAGTGGCTGTTAGAGGAACTGCAGTTTTTGGCACTTCGGTGTTGGCTTCATTCGCCAGGCATGGAGTTTGCCGCTTGGTTAAAATAAACAACTTTTTGCTAACATGTTTGCAATAAGATGATAGTGTTGTGTTTACAGGTTGTTGCTTTGCCCACATGTAGCCCAAAAATTAACCCTTTCTAAGTCCCACCCCTCTTTTCTCTGTGCTCCAGCAACAGTTGAGCAAGCCCTGGTCCTCAGCCATCATTCTCTTTTCCAATATGCAATATTTTTTTTCCCAGGATGATGAAGTCATAAACCACCCTGCTCTGCCTCTAATTGGCTTACCTTGACATTCTTACCCTAACCCTAACCAGTTTCACTCCTCATTCGTAAACCTAGGCAACAAGTACTAGACAGTCTGAGGCAGAGTAGGGCGGGTCATGAGTTGGCCACCCTGGGAAAAACATCGCTGTATTTCCTGTTCTTAGATATGCTTTAGATGAGAGCAGCCATTCGTCACTTTCTTGTCTTCAGAATGAACATGCCCCCCTTCTGTAAAAGTGCCCTAGTGGCACATGCCTAAAAGCTGCTGCATCGCATTTTGCACCTCAAAAAATAAAAAGAAGCCAGGTTACGATTTTCTTTAGTCTTCTAATCAAGGAAGGACAGTAAAAGAAATCTGTGGCTTTAGGCAATCTGCAAACAGGATGACAATGTTAAACTTTGGGACCCGGACAGAGGACACAGGTTAGTTGTGTGATGATGTAACTGAGTAAGTGACGTGAGCCAATTGTGTCTGTAGATGTCAATCAGCAAAGAGTCTTAGTGATGGTGTAAATAACGTTTTTACTGTGAAAAGGCCCTACCATAAAACTGTTTCTTTTAGAATAGAGTTTGGTTTGACAGTGTGGAGCAGAGGGGATTTTAACCTTAATAATTCACATAAACTGAGCTGACCTACGTTCTAACAATGAACCTTGTAATAAAGTAATGTAGGAAGTAGAGATAAAACCAACATGTTTTCTACTTCTCTAGGATCGTAGCAAAAGGTCAATTAATAATGAACACAAACGGCGGTTCTACTTTGCCTCAGCGATGTAAATGCAGCAACGTAACATTGGACAGACGACCAAAACAGCAAAATAATTCCATTTAATTCAGTTCAATTTTAATTTTATTTGTTTAGTACCAATTCATAACAGAAGTTATCTCAGGACACTTTTCAAATAGAGCAGGTCTAGACTGTACTCTTTATAACATTATTTACAGAGACCCAACAGTACCACCATGAGCAAGACCTTCATGAAAAACTTCCTGCATTATTTCTATATAATAACACAGATCATTGATTGGCAATGACACAACATAATTGTTTGCCTTACTGGCCATAGGATTTTGGCTCCTAAAGGCTAAAAAGCAGTAGGGTGTTTTTATTTTATGCTATCAAACTGGCAAAGATCTCGGAACCAGCAGTCAAATGAGAGGGGCTGCTTTTACCCAGAAGGGGCGGGGCATGACGCAAGGCCAAAGTACCTGGATGGGCTGCTGTCATCTATGACTTGAAAATAATTGCTTCCTCTACTTAAACATGCTATTTGCTATGGTCATCGATAAACAGACAACCACATTTTGAAGATGGTTAAAAGTTCAACACAAAACAAAAGCTACCTAGTCACATCTGAAAGCTAGCTAATGTTAGCAAAAGTCTACCTAACTGGCTTGGTCATTTATATAAATTGCTGGTGAGCTAGTAAGCTAATGTTTTGCTAACATAAGCTAACTTAAGATGTAACTGAATCTATGTCACTGTTATCTTTTCACCATCTTCAAAATGGAGGTTGAGAGGCTAGCTAAACACAGAGCAAAAAGACTGAGGAAGGGCCAATTAATGCAGCTTCAACTTAGAATTGAAGACAACTTGAGAAATAATATTTGATGGAATTTACATCTTCTCTTAACCTTATACCACATATACATACGGACCACATGGTCTCTCTGTGTTTCTCTTTACAGAGCAAAATGCCATCCAATGCAACCTCTTCAGAAGGTGAGTCACTGTCTTTATGTACTTAATACTCCACTTACAGTCTGTATTGCAACCCTTAAGAACCTGTACTTGATTCTACATTTTACATTCAGTAAGTTACAAGTATGCCACTAGTAAACCACTAAGAATAGTCAGTTGCAGGTTTGTCTCTTAGTTCCCACCATTATGTATGTCAACAACATGCTTTAAACAGACTCATCTACGTCAGTGCTTGCATTAGACACAGAGAAACACTGTCCGAAGTGAGAGAGAGGAAGGAGAGCGTGTGATAGCCCCTCACCGCCTCACCACACGGGCCACCAATACACAGCCCCACTTCTATTATTATCAAGCATACCAGGAAGTCAGTTACACAGTCAAAGTAGGGGGGGGTAACAAAGACAGACTCACACTGAAATGCAGTGCTTCCATTAATAAAACAACATTCACAGATATTCAGCCATGTACACTCACATGAAAAACTTCCTGCCGGCTTTCTGCAAGCCAAGAAAAGCAGGCCTGGGCTCTGTCATCATTTTCAAGTTGATCCAGTGGGTTTTGAAGTGTTTTACAAGCACAAAGATGTTTTCGCAGCATGTAGCTTTCACATGATAATGCAAGAGGGATACGTTTTATACTGCAGCATGACCACAATGTATCAACATGAGGCCTTCTGCTTCTCTCTTGTCCTGTAGGAGAGAGTATTGCCATGGCACTGTATGACTATGAGGCCATTCACGAAGGAGACCTTGGCTTCAGGAAGGGAGATAAGCTCAAAATCTTAGAGGAGTAAGTAAAGAGTCAACAGTGAGAAAGATCATGAGTTCTTTGCTGCTTCAGTCATTCAACATGTAAATTGTGTGTCTTTGTTCACAAGAAATGTTCACACTTTGTCTGTGTGGTTCTCTCTCTCTCTCGCTCTCTCTCTCTCTCTCCTCTCTCTCTCTGTAGATCGGGGGAGTGGTGGAGAGCTATGCTGATCAGTACAGGTCAGGAAGGTTACATCCCCAGCAACTATGTAGCTAAAGATACCCTGGAGGCAGAGGAGTAAGTGGACTCACATTGAAAACACATTTCTATGCATTATTAGTAGCTCACTAGTCTAGAGCAGGGATCTCAAACTGCTGGCCTGGGGGACATTTCCGGCCCTCCATCCCTCTCGCTGCACCTCAAAACATGATATTAAAAATATAATATAATTTCTAGTTGTTTCATATCAATTTAAACCACCCTTTCACATACGATTAAAGAGCAACTAAATCCCCAAACCATTCAATTCAATTCCTTTCAGTTTTATTTGTATAGTGCCAATTCAATTCAAAGTTATCTCATGACTAAAAACCTATGTATACGGGTATTTACTAGTGTTGCTGATTGATTCAGGTCCAAATCTGTATTTGAATTCTACATTATTTGCTATAATAATGCACAGTGACTGCCCTCTACTGGTTGAAACACGACCAACCAATCCCTGCTTCTATAAAACCATCGTCTCGCCTCTGCAGACTGTGGCCTTCTACGTAGCCGTTAGCCTGCCACTCTGCCACAGACACCAGAGCTCTCTGAGACACTAGTATAGCTAACCTTAACACAGCTGCTCATGGCTGGTTAGCCCCATGCTGTGTTGCTAGCTTAGCTAACGTAGCTTACACAGGTACAACACAGAAACCTTCAGAAACCTAAAAGTGCTTCTAGTGACTGTAAAAGATCCAGAGGAAAAGGAACAGTGCATTTCAAAGGGGGGCCGCCAGGGCGTGTCAAAGAACTTTGAATAATTATTATTTTTGTTATTATTATAATATATATATCTTTTTTTTATAAAATATAATTTATAATAATATACAACATTTTAGAATGTTTCAGAAGTTTTTGTTTTTTATTACATTTGCCCTGTAATTGTCAGTAGGTTTTCAGAGACATCTTGCAAAATGGGTGCCCTGGCCATAAACTAATGGTATTTGGGGGGTTGGCATGGAAACGTTTCGGAACCCCTGGTCTAGAGAGTCTGACAAATTACATTACATTACATTAGTTACACTATCATTATTATTATTTTTATCGGTCATTTGCCTTACTGTATATAGCAGCAGTATCATTTACCATACAACACTAGCAGTGTAGTGTGAAACAAAGCACACGATATAAGTGGAAAATGAATGTTTGTGCTGGAGGAGCCGTTGAGATGTTTCTGTACTAACTGATCTGTTTCCTGTTGTTGAGGTGGTTCTTTAAGGGCGTGAGCAGGAAAGATGCTGAGAGGCAGCTGCTGGCCCCTGGGAACAAAGTGGGATCCTTCATGATCCGAGACAGCGAGACCACCGCAGGTGAGTAAAATAAAACAGATGATCTGTCCTTTAGTGGATCAGCGGAAGCAGCCATAAAGAGAATTTCTTGACAGCAAGAACCCCATCTGACGAATCAAGCAGTTTGACCTCTGCAGTTGCTGCTGTAGAAATTATGTTTTTAACAGGCAGGAGCTAGAGAACTTCATTCTATCTCTCACATTTTGAGCCACTGTAATTGCATGAAAGCGCTACACACTTAGGTTAACAGAATAATTGGAATTTAAAGGTGCTCTTATCACTAGTATCAGTGGCAGACTCAGGCTGTTTGAGGGGCAGGGGCAAAAAAAATTAAAAGGGCACCAGCTTGCAAAAAGTTGTGATGTATTTATGGTGAAACAACTCTTATCTTGTCTTTCTCCACTGAAAGGGCACCCTATAGGGCACTTAAACATCGTTTTCTACACTGGAAGGTCAACCTAGAGGGGCACTATTTTATCTACCATAGGGGCATCATAGAGGTTGCTTTTGCATATTTTTTTTTTAACATGGGGGCACCAGGTTGGGGACGATCACCCTGCCCACCAGTGTCTAGAATTTTTTAAGTTGTGTTCTTGGAAAAATATCTGTTAATCGCCGCAGTGCCTGTGCTCCTGCTGCAGCTGCCTGTGCTGTTTCCTGTTTCCTCAGGGACAATGTGCCGAGGTTGATAATATGAGCCGATTTAGGTGTTAAAATATCCTGTGATGTCATTTTCATTTCTGATTTCTCAAGAAAGACTTTTGATCTTTGATCTTTTGTTCTCACCTGCTTCCCAAATCTGCAAACCTGCTGCAGGACTCAGTAGTATGGTGGATACTGATTCCAATTTTACATGTGAGGACTACACAGCCTGTGAAAACCCTTGGCTCTGGGGGGAGCTTTCTAAAGTTTTAAAAAGAGGATCATGAGGATTTTGTCCTCAGCAATTGGGTGACTTTTTAAATGTTTAACAAAAAGCCTGCATTACAACCTGGAGGTGCAAAAGAAAAATGCAGCCCCCCTAAATGAACTGAAAGTGAAATCATTTGGGTGCCGCTTTAAGTGTCCTATGTTGGTCTGTAACCTGTAGTTTCCTGGCACATCAAAGTTTTAAAATGTAGAATCATCCGAAAACATGAACTCATATCGGTGAAAAAGTACTGGCATCAGCATTTAGAAATCCCCTTCAGGTCTCATGGCAGAGGTTACTCTGGTTTCTTTCTCTTTCATCACAGGCAGCTACTCTCTGTCTGTCATGGACAGCGATCCCCGGTCAGGTGACACGGTGAAGCATTATAAGATCCGCACGCTGGACAACGGAGGGTTCTACATCTCTCCCCGCAACACCTTCAGCACCCTGCAGGAGCTGGTCAGCCATTACAAGAGTGAGTTGACTGCTGGCACAGTTCAGACCTCCTCACAGCTGTGTTTCAGAAGTCTAGTTGAGTTTTTGCCATTATTAAAATGATGAGAAATCCTCAGTCATACTGTAAGGGGTTAGTTTTCTTAGATTTGTACTCTTTTAAAGGTGTCAGAAAAAAGAAACTTCCGTTCTGTTCAAACACTGATGCTTATTGACGTACAGCGCACTCTGCTGGGCACTTAAATACATCAACATATGTGAAACGTTGTCAGGGTCATTAAGTGATGAATGGTATTGCTCTTTAATATCAGCATGAAAGTGCTTTTAGTATATTATTATTTGTGAAGTTGTGTAATTTTCCCCACAAATAAGAGCAACATATGGATTTTCATTATATAAAATCAATACATAAAATGAACCTCAAATACATCCAATCAAATACAAAATCAAATCATTAAATATTGTCTCTGTTCATTCCAGAGCAGGGAGACGGCCTCTGCCAATCCCTGACCAGCCCATGCCTGAGCCCCAAACCTGAGAAGCCCTGGGAGAAAGATGCCTGGGAAATCCCCAGATCATCACTAAAACTGGAGAAGAGGCTTGGTGCTGGCCAGTTCGGAGAAGTCTGGATGGGTGAGACGGATGTGAATCATTTCAGAATGCAGGTATCGATGGAGGTGGGAGGCCAAAGGTTCACTTTCTGATTCTTGTTGTTTTGTTTGAAGCCACGTACAATAAGCACACGAAGGTGGCAGTGAAGACCATGAAGCCTGGAAGCATGTCCCAGGAAGCCTTCATGATGGAGGCCAACCTGATGAAGACTCTACAGCATGACAAACTGGTCCGACTCCATGCTGTGGTCAGCAAGGAGGAGCCTATCTATATCATTACCGAGTACATGGAGAAAGGTGTGTGTGTGTGTGTGTGTGTGTGTGTGTGTGTGTGTGTGTGTGTGCAGAACACTTGCTGTGTAAGTCAATGAAAGCAGCTTGAAATTTGTCATTTTATTGAAACAAATATTAGTTTTCCTGCCCAAAACCTTTGTGTGGACAGCCTATAACACGTCCACATCATATTACACTAAACCCTGTTTAACTGAAGGGGAAACAAGTTACTGATTACCAACCAGGAACACTTTAACCCCAGGGGGTAGTTTCTAGTAGGAAGAGAGAGGGAAAGAGACAGAGATGCACAGCAACAATAACAGCTATAATAATAATGGAACTGGTTCAGGACTCACATAAGCCAGCCCTAACTATAAGCTTTATCAAAGAGTCTTAAGACTACTCTTAAATGTGAAGAGGGTGTCTGCCTCCAGAACCCAAACTGGAAAAGTTGTGGAAATGTAGATTTTGTATATTTAGTCAGCTATAGTAGTGGTTCTCAACTGGTCTCACCTTGGGACCCACATTCAGGAACATCAGGAACAGAGAGCTGGTAGTTAAAGCATGTAGTAGTATTGTATTGTTTTTTATTTATTTTTAAAGCGTGTTGTATGTGTGCTTGCAGGTAGTCTATTAGACTTCTTGAAAAGTGACGAGGGCAACCGTGTCCAGCTCCCTAAGCTCATTGACTTTTCCGCCCAGGTAAGATTCATTCACTCTCATTCATCGCCCTCTGTTTGTTTTGTGCTTTATATCAATGAATCCTTTGTTTGCCTTAAGGGCGGTGAATTCAGAAAATAATAGACAGTACTGCAAGAAAAAACACTGTAGCTTTAGCCAGGAAGAAAGATGCAGAAAAATAGATGGATCACTGGGTAATGAAACACAGTAGTTTAAAGTGATTTTAAGCACTTATCAGCCAATATGAGCCAGCTGCAGAATTAAATGTTTTATACTTTCATGCTCTACTCCTAGCAGGTTGATCAGATCCAGCGGAAATTTGGTCAGAAAATGCAAAATATGTTGTTGATGATATGTGATGAATGTGGTGAGTTGTCGTTGAAGGGCGCATCCGCGGTGGGGCGTCAAACGTGGACGCACATGAATTTGCTATAACTTGAGTGTACATCGTCCTATCGGCACCAAACTTCAAGTGTCTGATAGGAGTCCTGCCCTGAGCACATCTATGTGATAATATTCAATAAAAGTGGTAGCGCCACCTTGTGGTAACTAGAAATATAATTGATTACACTTTTATGTATTTCTCCCAGCAGATTGACCACATCCAGCTGAAGTTTATTCAGAAGACCCTTAGAATGTTGACAATGACATTTTATTAATCTGATTTTTATTGAATTGTGTTGCTGTAGCAATGCGGCGAGCATAACCTTGTTGTTTTAACATTTGATCACATTTTGCAGGGGCTAAACCTATGGAGCCAGGATGGTGACTTTAAAATGTGGCATCCAAAAAAAACAAATGGCATTGAAAACAAAACCAGTGCTGAAAAAGGAAACATTGGCATTGAAACATTTGTATTGAAAACAGTTTGGCAGTATTGGCATTGAAACAAGTATTGGCACTGAAAAAAGAAACTAATTAAAATAATTAAAATCTTAAAATCTTATTTTATTGGGATTTTTTTGTATTTTTCAATGACAATCTTCAGATTTTTTCTTCATGTCACTCTTTTTTACAATGTCAGTTTTTTTCAGTGTCAGACCCCAACCACAGCCCCGGTGTTCTGTTTCGCGGACATGTATGAAAATTGCAGGCATATGTATCATCTCAGGACGTACAAAAAAGCCTCTTGGAGCCATATCCTAAACCCAACAGGAAGTCAGCCATTTTGAATTTAATGTACAATTCTGACGCCATTTCCAGATTTTGTATTTTAACTAATCCTAGGGATATGATTAGAACAACTCCAAATTTGGTGAGCACATTCTAAAGATATCCAACTTCATACAGTCATACAGTCAACATTAAGCAAGGCATATAGGCTTCCATCAGTCATCTCCAAATGACCCAGTGCACTTCCCAGGTGTGCTAATTCATAAAAGGACCCTTTATACATTTCTCCATGGTAACGCTATCATCTGTTTTGACAGTAGCAAACAAACATAGATCTAAAAACATTTGCTCCTTCTTTCTTATGTTAGGCTGTTAATTGTTGTTATTATGGAATACAGCCTGATAAAAAAAGCTTATTACATTCCCAAACACTGCGGAAACAGTCCCCTTGGACTGACGACACATTACATTTTATACCAAGCATACAAAGTCTTACAGTATGTCTGAGAGCATGGAAATGTTTGATGTTAAATTTGATTGAAGCATTCTTATTCTTGCTGTTTTGTACAGTTTCATTGAGTTACTGTTGCTAACTATCTTTTACACTGACTTTTGTCTCTAGACCGCAGAGGGCATGGCCTACATTGAGCAGAGGAACTACATCCACAGAGACCTGAGAGCTGCCAACATCCTGGTCAACAAGGCCTTGGTGTGCAAAATTGCTGACTTCGGCCTGGCTCGTATCATTGAAGATAACGAGTACACGGCCAGGGAAGGTACGGCACAGTATCACACTGTCGCATGTTGTGTAACCAGGTGTCATCAGCAGATTGAGGAACTGGGGAAATGGGAGCAATCGCAGTTTCATTAGTTTTGGGGAAATTACTTTGTGTTGGCGAGATGTCGGATTACAACACGAGTGATGGAAATAGTGAAGACGAGATTGACTTGCTGTCTCTCAGGGTTATTAGGAGCCAACTACTGTCTCAGTAATAATGTCAGCATTAGTTCACAATTTGATTGGTTTTCAATGTTCCACAATTACCAGGAGCCAAGTTCCCCATCAAATGGACAGCTCCTGAGGCCATCAACTATGGCTCTTTCACCATCAAATCTGACGTCTGGTCCTTTGGCATCCTGCTGACTGAGATCATCAGCTATGGACGCACACCGTACCCAGGTAGGTTCTCAAACACCTGTACCACTGGTGGTACTTGAGCTGCCTCTCAAGCGTACACTGGATCCTCTTCTGGTGGAGTCTGCCATATTGAACTGCCATGCTTCTACAGAAGCCCAAACACTGGCTCTAGATAGAGCCTTTGGTGTTTTCCGGAAATTTGGCAGCCATCGTAGTTTGTCCTTTAACAACACATGACTTTAGCCCTCTACAGTTTATTATTTTGTATCATTTGAGCTTTTCTCAAGGTGTTACATGTAGCCCTTGATGCTAGGTGCAGTGGTAAGAAGGCTACCTGAATGCATGCATGCGCAGTGAGTTAACATTATAGTCTGTATCATAGTGTTGATGCTAACATGCTGATGTTTACCAAGTATACTGTTAACCATTTTAAGTTAGCATTTTAGCATACTAACACTTGCTGATTAGCACTAAACACAGTAGAGCTGAGGCTGATTGTTTTGCAGGCATCTGGTCATAAAGTATTGGACAAATGAAAAACTTTGACCAGACAATGGCGCTAGAAGGCAGTTCATGCAATAGTTGTCAGGCAGTGTGTCTTCTGGGGCTCCAGTCCTGAATGTTTTCTCAAAAGCCCTGAATCTTTGAGGTTTTAAAATAACTTTGTCCTTTAAAAACATGTCAGTATCAGTTTGTGTCATTTCCCGTCTCGCTGACTAGGCCAGAAAATCAGTTTGGCAAACGATCTATCACTGGGGAAATATCGCCATTTATGGGTCCGCCCTATCATTGTCATGGAGGTTGTTGTCTTCCGTGTGTTGTGTTTTATTCAGTCGTATCGCCTCAAGTTTTTCATGTGGAGTCAACCTCAACTATGTTTGCATCTCTTTAGGCTGCAGGAGTGAAAATTAGTCATCCTCAACATTTGTTGTGTTCTGGTTTCAGAATGATGAAGAACGATTAAAAAACAACATAGGATGTAGGTTCTACGGAATTATTTTTTTTCCTGGGAAATGTTTTCTCCAATTATGTACAGATTTTTAGGCATTCTGTCACCTCAACTGGCTTGTAAAATATATGTGCATATAGCTGCTGTTAATGGGGAGAAATGTATTCAGGGAACATTCCCCTGGATCCTCCTAGGTTTAGGCTAAGCCCTGAATGTTTACTACGTCTTGCTCCGCCCCGAGTTGTCAAGACATTTAACCACGAATGTCAACCAAAGTCAGAGAATGTCTGCACACAGTTTCAGTCCAAAGTCCATTGCAGTCCATCCAGTAGTTGCTGAGATATGTCAGTCTGGAACCAAACATCACTCTGCAGCCTCTCTCAACCCAGTCTTGTTCTCTGGTTTTCAGGGATGACCAACCCAGAGGTGATCCGTTCACTTGAGAAGGGCTACCGAATGCAGAAGCTGGAGAGCTGTCCCACCGAACTCTATGAAATCATGCTGGAGTGCTGGAAGAACAAGCCAGAGGACCGTCCCACCTTCGATTACCTGCAGAGCGTCCTGGAGGATTTCTACACAGCCACAGAGAGCCAGTATCAGCAGCAGCCATGAGACTTTTTCATGACATCACTTTACATTCATACTTAACTGCACTTAACCCATTTTCTACATGCAGTAGTGTCGTTCACACACACACGCTCTGTCTTTACCATTCTCTCTCTGTCTGTCTGTCTCTCATTCACACACCTATAGTATCAAGGGACTGTACAAAGAGTATTGGGGAGGGTTGAAACTATTTTTTAAGGAAACAGGCCCTACCTAACATTTTTTATATTTTCATTGGGCCCTCCTCCTTTTGAATAAGAACATTTGAAAGTAATATAACCACAGTGGAGAGAAGAAAAACACAATATAAAAACAATATATACAGTAACCAGAGCCCAACCAATTTTAGGAGGGAAAATCTTGTAGATTTTGAAGATAAATAACTTAATTAAAGAACATTTAAGTTAGATATTCTTTAACATGTTGAATAATGTAATTTACATTGTCAACCAATTCTAGTTGAGATTTCTGAGAGCTGCTTGCCACAGTATTGTAAATCACAGCTCACTCTGTGGGTTAAACTTTGCAGTGACACCAATATAGTACCAGAAGCATTTTTTCTGCGTTATGTACCAGAAAAAAACTCACATTGGCATGCATTCATTCACATTATTAATATTATGACAACACAACCCTACCTCATACTTAGATCAGGGGCAAAGCACAACAGTAGGCTAATGTGACTGCAGCTGCATCAGCTGTACTGGACATTTATCTTCACAGAAGTGCCCATAAATCATCTGGATGCACCGCGGCAGTGAATCACTGGACATTATACAGTACATGATATGTGCAAACAGATATGTGTGTCAGCTATATCTGCTGCCTCTATCGTGAAAATAAGGATTTATGCTCTCTTTTATTGCACACTTTGAGTGCACTTTTGTGTGGATCACTGTACTGCATGATTAAGCGCTTGGTTAATTCAAAAATGTGCAGCCATGTCCTTAATTATGCATAACTGTAAGCCTTGATATAATTTAAACAGGTGAGTTCTATAAAAATTGGCCCCAGAGGTCATGAAAGGAGTATTAAGCTTGCTAGCCCTGCTGGTTTACAGACTGGGTACTTTTGCAAGAAACAAATCTGGGAAAAAAAATGAGTTTTTCATAAACAAAAAGACTTTCTTACTCTTACCCCCTTTTAATTTTTGTACAGTCCCTAACATGACATTCAAACACCTTTGAAGCTGTTCTACATTACAAGCATGACTGTATCACAGGAAACATATTATTTTACACAAGTACAAAGGCACATGGCCATATTTACAAACAGACAACAGTAGGCGGTCACATGGAAAAGACTGGATTTAGCACACACTGTGCAGCCATCAAAGCAAGGTATAGCCACAACACAGATGCTCACAGTCGAGTATTTGCAGCGTTCACTCTGATATTACTGCAGTGATGTCAACAATTCAGTAAGCGAAGGTGTCATTGTGCACTGTTGAATGTTTTACATTGTGAAAGGAGAGTGTGTACTTTACAAAGTGTACGATATATATGGCCGATTATGCTTAAATCCTTTATTTATATTCAAGATATTTTCCACATGCTGTGGCTTGTTCCAGCGTTACTCCTTCATTGTGCCTTTTGCAACAGATCTTCTCTCAGTCATATACAGTATATACATACAATATATTCCATGCGCTCTGTATTTATAAACGGATGTACACAAATAAATATGATTATTTAGGAGTGGGGTCTTTAATGTGAAGCCATATTAATGCTTGTTGATCCATTAAACTTGTGTTCTGTATTATACTAAAGGAAAGCAGATTTTTACACCTTTTGGCCTTCTTTTTTCTGTGTGAGAAAATTATTTATTGGTGAAAATAGTTCTGCTGCCGTGTGTCTTGAATGCCTAATAGCTTTTTTTTTTATCAGTTTTTGCAGCAAAGTGTTTGTCATGTTGTTGGAATTGTGTTTGGGTGAGCAAAGTCCTAAAATATCAAAGGGAATATTCTAAAGATTTCTGTCGTTTCATGATTTGGTATCATGCATTTAGAGAGAACTGTGAATAGCAATATCTGGGGGAAGTTTTCTATGGAACGCTTATATAGAGAGTTGACAATCTTGAATCAGTCTGCAGCACTGTAGATATATTCCAATGGTTAAAAATGTTTTTCTTTAGCAATGTAAAACCCTTTGCATATTTTGTTAGAAGCTTGGTTAAATGCAACTGTAGTGAAGTTTTCAAATAAATTTTTTTTGAAACAATTATCTGCCCAAATGTGTGTTTGTATTTCATGTTATTATGTGTTTGTACATGAATTAAGTTAATTTGTTTGATTGTCAGGTGAATTAAAGGTGATTGGGACAGTTTTTGAATTTTCTGACTTGTGGAATCCTACTTGAGATAAATACCCAACACAAGATATACTTCAGTAGAAATTACCTATCCATCTGAGGAGGAAAGAAGGTTATATCATATCATGTTGATCATTATGGATTAAAGCTGCAGTAGGTAACATTCATAAACATAATATTTGCTGAAACTTCTGACCTACTGTCAGGATAAAATGGAAGCAAATATGTATATAAGTTACCCACTACAGCTTTAAGACTCTATTTTCAATTCTGTTGAAATGTATTACTGACTTAAGGTTTAAAAATCTGTCCACAATTCATACAGTATTAAGCCACTTTCCCTCACTGTTACAACAATGATGTGCCTCCCTCTCCCTCCCTTAATTCTCTCCCCCCAAACTTTATTGAAGACATTTCTTTGCCGTAAAAAAGTAAATTTTCCTGTCTTCCTACATCTTTCTTCCTGTCTCACAGAAACAGATAAGTTAGGATGGGTTAAGAGGTCAAGGCTGAATTAAGTGTTAGGTTTGGCTTGGTTAGGGTATTAGGGTAAACTGTTGCAGGCTTTTTTGCTAGCTAGCTAGTCCAGTCAGCGAAAAAAAACACCTTAAATCCAGCTAGCCCATGAACATTTTTTAGCAACACCGGGGCCCCGCATGGAACTGCCCTTTCTCCCTTCCTCTTCACCCTCTTCACCACGGACTTCAACTACCACACAGAGTCCTGTCATCTTCAGACGTTTTCTGATGACTCTGCTGTGGTGGGGTGTATCAGCAGCAGAGGTGTGAGCAGAACCATCTGCAACTCAATATTAAAAGGCTAAGGAACTGGTTGTGAACCTGAGGAAGACCAAGGCCCCACTGACCCCTGTTTCCATCCAGGGGGTCAGTGTCACACTGTAGAGGACTACAAGTCCCAGGGAGTTCACATAGACCAGGGGTGGGCAACCACTCAGAGACTAAGAGCCACATTTTTTACTGTGTTACTGCAAAGAGCCACATCATACACACATGAACATCCCCCCATCCCTTCCTCTCTCTCTCTCTCTCTCTCTCTCTCACACACACACACACACACACACACAGACCACTGCTCTGCCAGACCTCTGTTCAGCCAGATTTACTGTAAATGTCACACACCAACATGATGGACTCCTACCGTACTAAGACCACAGGCCAGTCATTTTCAACAATGAACATTGTGTGCAATGTTTCACACACACAAACTCTCAGTTCTCAAGTCCACAAACAAAAATATAACAATTTACAAAAGCGTTTTTCTCTTACTATGCATCTTGCTTAGTGGGACTTCTGGCATTCCTTGCCTTGAACAATCCTCTTCACATCTGGCTTGTATTCCGTTGTTGCCAGGTGTGTCAGTGAGAACAGATCGATGCTCTGATTTCACATGTTTCAGGGTAGAAAACAGAGACTCGCAGACGTATGTTGACCCAAACAAACATTGACAGTATCTGGAGCGCGGCCCGTTTGACATTGGGGTATTTTTCCATTGGCACACTTTTCCAGAACTCAATGGTCCCTTCCCTTAAAGCAGGGTTCAGTTGGTCCTCCTCACAAAGATCGATCATCTCCAACTCAGCCGCAGCCTCAGCTGTGACTAGCGGGGATTTCAAACAGTCCGTCTCCGCATTAAAAGGGTCGACGAGGAACGTGATCTGTGGCCTTTCAGTTGTAGATCACGGAACCGGGTCGCAAAGCTTTCGTGCAGGTTTTCAACCAGTGTTGGGTATCTGGCTGTTTGCTTATTCAGGGCGGCGCTGGTGACTTGCCCGCTGGCTTTTAGCAGAGCGGGAAAATGCGCTAAATCTCCTTTTTGAATATGCGTCTCGAACAGCTTCAGTTTGTTGACAAACGCAAACTTTTGATGAGTGCCTTCGTTGCCTCCGTCATGGCGCAAATTAAGGGGTTCACCCGGGTATGACGTTCACATCAATGCCGATCGGAGGTGAAACCGATTAATATCGGGTGTTAGCGGGTTTACATAGGTTTTTTTGGGCAGTATGAAAGGGGCTATACACAACACAGAGCTCGATATGAACGGAAGAGCCGCATGAAACCAGGCAAAGAGCCACATGCGGCTCGGGAGCCGCGGGTTGGCCAGGCCTGGACAATCAACTGGACTGGGATAAGAACACTCAAGCCCGCTACAGGAAGGGCCAGAGCCGTCTCTATTTCTGAGGAGGCTGAGGTCCTTCAACATCTGCAGGACCATGCTGAGGATGTTCTATGAGTCTGTGGTGGCCATGCTGTCCTGTTTGCTGTTGTCTGCTGGGGCAGCAGGTTGAGGGTAGGGCTAATCAGTCCCTCCAGAAAAAACGATTATGCATCAAATAATTCAATTCAGTTCAATTATATTTGTATAGCGCCAATTCAAATAGAGCAGGTCTAGACCGAACTCTTTAACATTATTTACAGAGACCCAACAGTACCACCATGAGCAAGACCTTGGAGACAAGGGCAAGGAAAAACTGCCTGTTAAAAGGCAGAAACCTAGGACAGATCCTCCGGCTCTAGGTGGGTGGTCGTCTGTCTCGACCAGTATTCAATGCATAATCATCCAAAGTCCGCATATTTATGCGGGGGCCGCATTTTTTTCAAAGACGCCGCACTTTCGCCGCATAAATTGCCGATTTCCGCGCAAAATATGCGGGGCTTGCATGATTTCATAATCCATGCATTTTCGTTGCAGAAAAGTCACATATATATTAACAGAAAGTTGAAAAATGCGTTTACTTCACTCAAGAGCAGCCATTTTCCCCTGTTGACATGGGAACGTTATGAAGGGACATAGTAATCCCTTTTATTTATTCATTTTTACAGAAGTTGTAGCATATTCCTTTTGTAAAGCTACAGAACTTGTTTGACTCATCAATGTTTTGTAAGTTTGAGCTATGTGTTTATTAAGGTCTGAAATAAAACAAGATGAGAACTTAAATATTCCCAGCACTTTCTGTGATGTAGTATGTTTATCATAGGAAGTAATAAGAAATGACTCTTTACATTGAGGTAGTAGCCTAGTGAGAACAGGGTGTTGGAGGAATCACTTTTCTCTTTTTCATCAAACCACAATTTTTGCAAGTTCCTGCAATTTCATTGCATAAAATTGCATAAATATCTCACATATTCCATCGCATTTTTTAAGAAAACGTGCCGCATAATCAAGGATTTTTGTCCACAACAATCACAAAAAAACTCGGCATTTTTCTGGAAGGACTGGCTAATAGACTCAATAACCTGATCCGCAAGGCCAGTGACGCTGTGGGGGTGGAGCTGGACTCTTTACAGCAGTGTCAGAGAGGAGGATGCTGTCCAAGATTCATACTATCTTGGACAATGTCTCCCACCCACTCCACAATGAACTGGTCAAACACAGGAGGACTTTCAGTGCAAGACTCATTCCGCCGAGATGCACCACAGAGCATCACGGGAAGTCAGTCCTGCCTGTGGCCATCAATCTCTTCAACTCCTCCCTCAGAGTGTCAAAACTCTGAGTCATTAGTCATTAAATTGTTAATGTGCAATAAGTCGATTAAGTGCAATACCCAAGTCAACTTGATTATTGTGTCATTCTTTGTAATTATCTATAACTCTGCAACACCACAATCTTAAAACTCGTTACTATTTATTTAATTTCTGTCAATAATACTGTGGAATATGTTTATACTTATGTTTAGATTTACATTTACTTTGTAAATAGGCTCTTATTATGTTATTATATCTCTTAGGCTCTATTTCCATTTTTATTTTAACTTTTTATTATATGTATATACCAATACATTCATTTCTATTCTATATATTTTTCTAGATATTGTATATAAGTACTATTTTTTAACGTTGTGTGAGTGGAACAACTGTAATGAACCAATTTGAAAAGTGTCCTGAGATAACTTCTGTTATGAATTGGCGCTATACAAAAAAAAAATGAAGAAACATCTCAAAATATTGACTTAGTGTCTCATTATAATGATTTATATAATCTTTGTTTTTCCTGTCACATTAGCAAGATGGGATTCCACAGTGAGCTCTGACCCATTTCAGTCACTGGTTCTCAACCTTTTAGAGTCCCCCCCCAGAATAATCAGGTTGGTGTAAGCTTAATTTGACGCCCTATCTCGCAACTCCTTTGAGGTTGAGAACCACTGCTCTATGGCAAGGTTGATCATTGTCAAAACTAGCACAGCCTTTTAGCAGTGTCCCAGTCACTACAATCATGCTGTCCCATAAAAACAACAAATTGTACATCATATTCATGTTTCCAGAGAATATTCGTTAGTGAAATATATTTATTGTTATTGTTCTCACATCAGTTATTGCAGGATCAACTTCCTGTCTGACACTTGCTCCACCTACCTACGTAATGTCATACCACAGCTAGGGCAAAGTAGCAAGCAAATAAAGTTTTCATTCTAACCAAGCAAGAAAATGAACCCCGTATAATATCGCCAAACTCAACCATATGTCCCGATCACCCTTAATTCACCCTAGATATGGCTTTTATTTATGAAGCTGGAGGCAAATCTCAATGATTTATGTAGCCTAAGATAGTTAACAAACAAGTAATTCACAATATTTATTAAAATAAACAACGGACTATTTATTTGCAGTAGCAGCAGTGGAGGGCAGCAGTTATTCGGCTGTTAAGCAGCACTACATTAATGGGTGTGTCAAATAAAAAGAGAAATTAATGAATCCAAAAACCACGGTACTTCCGCGACGTCACTAATGACACGTATTCAAAATGGCGGCCGCGGCTATGGTAAGTGGAAGAGCGAACTCTTTTTCTTCAAACTACACATCGCTCATACTCTCTTCCCGAACTAACACAGACAGGGTGCTGTTACAGTGGCAGGGTAGAGCTCTACCTGGACCGACACACAGCATCGAACGTCCCCTCGGAGCGGACTCACTGGAGTTCGCTGCTCTTTTAGCGTCGCTTTGGCTAACTGCTTGCTATAGTTAGCTAGCTTTCGGTACCTAGCTTGACTGTCAGTGAGCGGTGGCTTACAAAAATGATTTTTACAGTTTTTCTCGTATCTGAAACTGTGTCGACGGAGCCTCAATAGTCACGTACTCTGTTGTTAAACTGTCATTTGCTGTACAGCCGGGAGAAATAAGCTAGCCGAACTTTGGCTGAACGTTAGCTTGTAGCAGCCTGGTCCGGCAGCGACAGTTTGAGCTTGTTGTCGGTGTAACGTTAGTTAACAGTGCTGAAAGATATCAAGATGACAGCAGCAGATCAGCTACAAAAAAAACCAACAATGTGAACTAAGACTGTCTATGTTGTTCAGCTGTGTTGGTAGTGTATCATAACTTAAATGAGAGTAGAAGCCAGAAGCCATTCTTGCTAACTTCCTCCTGTACTCACAGTACCGATAAAATGCATGTGCTCCCATTGGACTCATTGTATCTTAAAGCTGCAGTAGGTCATTGTTATAAAAAGAACTTTCTGTCATTATTGCTGAAACTTTCACTATATCCTGACATTAGAACACGAGACAGATAATCTGTGAAAAACAAAGGTTCCTCCTAATGGGATTTGTAAGAATCCACCAGGCCTGAATGAAAACAACCAATCAGAGCTGAAAAAATATTTTCATAAAAATTACTTACTGCAGCTTCAAAGACCCAATAATTACAGTAAGTCAAAAAGTAAACCATACCAATCAGAGACACCCACGGCAGAAACTACAGCCGTAATTGACACTATTAGGTCAGGCAGGTCTGTATCAGCTTTGCATATCAGGACACTCCAGTTTTCCCCCAGCATTCATCCTCACACAACTGTGTAAGCTCTGTCAAGTTGCATGAGGAATGTGACAGAACAGCAATTCCGTAGTCTGTGAGGTGCAGCGGAGTTCAGGCATGAGGAGTGAAATGTCATAGGAATATTGGGGCTAGTCCCAGATTTTGGTGTAACACCTGTTCTGCCACAAATTTGGGTGGCTGTGGCTTGGTAGAAGGGGTCAAAGTTCAATACCTAGTAGTTTTTTGTTCTCCACATGTAGGAAAACCTGTTTGTTTGGTACACAGAGCCCAAGCAATGTCTTATAGAATAGTGTTATTTAGGGATGCTCGATATTGGCTTTTCTGCCGATATCCGATATTCCGATATTGTCCAACTCTCAGTTTCCGATACCGATATCACCCGATACCGATATATGCAGGCTTTTTACACCAAAACTGTTAGATAACAACATTACATATCTCCTATTGTGGAATGAACACATTATGCCTAACTTTATTGTGATTTTATCTTTCCAAATGTAAACACTGTCTGTGCAAAATAAGAGAACAACTTCAACTTTCACTGTATTAATACTGAAGAGAGCGCTAACACTAATCACTAGCTACGTGCTAACCGCTAGCTTTGGTTAATGTGTTTGTGTTAATATTAAAATCATTCAGCTTTAAATTGTTTGCTTGTTAGCCACGGTTAGCAACCAACCAGTCTAGCGTGTAGTTGTTGTTGTTACGTCATCTAGCGCGCGCCGGTAAACGTCCCATGCTGCGTTCATGCAGGCTCGGAAATGCTGAAGCCTACAGAACAAACATCGGTTATAAAAACCCGATACTGATAATTCCCGATATTACATTTTTTAGTGAATATCGGCATCCCGACATCCCTAGTGTTATTCTAATATTATTATTATTTACATTTATTTTTTCACCATATCGTGCAGCCTTTCTCCAGTCTAAGTGTCCTTGAGTAAGACACTGAACCCCAAGTTTCTCCCCATAGCCAGGCCAGTGCCTTTTATGGTAGGTAGCTGCCATTGGTGTGTGTGAAATGGTGAATGACAGATACACTGTAAAGTGATTTGGATCAAAGCGCTGTATTTATGCAGTCTATTTACGTGAGAAAGATTTCTCACTAAAATAAGTTCTGGTTGATGAGTCAGATGTATGCCACATGCACAATTCACTGCGGTGCGTATTTAGGCATGGTTTGATAGATCTACATATTTTCTTGCACAAGTAGATGTGAGGTTTGTGAGTGCGTAGGGTTTTAGGATGCGTTTTATAAATGAGGCCTCTGGTCATTACTGTTAAGCTATTTTTCTGTCACTATGGCTTTATGTTTGGGATCATTGTCCTACAGGGAAAAAACATCTTAAATAATCTCTCTAATAAATCAGTTCTCATGCTGAATGTAGCCACTTTCTCAGAAGGCATGTGGAGAACTTTGCCCCCCTGCCCCCTCCCCCGCCCTCTGGCAAACACTAGCGTAGATGTCATGTGAGGTTTTTGTCTTTGGCTGTGTGCCATGATGCTGCTGAATCACCTGGGAAACAGTTGTATGCACAGCTTCGGAACCGTGTAGCTCCTTCAGTGTCCTCAGGCCACAGGGTCCTGAATGAACTGCCATAAAACTGCATCGTGCATAATTTGACTGTAAATATTCAGCTTTAAATGTTGAGCCTTTCTGAACCTTTTGAGCTTCATATTTTCCCAGGATATTTGGGATACTGCATCTTTCACACACATCATCTTGCAAAAACGCATACCTTTATCTTTGTAAACCTGGCCCTACACTGTTACTCCAAGTTATTTACTGGTCAACTAGCCAGTGACCCCAATTGATTTTTTTTTTTTTAATGAATTAACCTGAATGTGGTGCTTGCCAGGTGTTCATTTTGGAGTGTCTATCTTCACAGATTTCTTTTCACAGGTCTGCTCCAGGTAGATTTCCAGCTGTGCATTAATTTAAAAAATAAATAGTAACATATTTCTCCATTGATTGTTGCTTTGCTAGCCTTGGATTTGTTCAGGATGTTACTTTGACTGGGGTGATGTAGTTCTTTTCAGGGTTCCCATGTGTCCTGGAAACATGGACAACCTAGAAATTTGAAGACTAGTTTTCCAGTCATGGAAACAGCTGAAAATTGATTAAAATGACAAAATATCCTGGAAATAATCTATGATCTCCTGGAAAATATTGAATCTGATTAATTGAAAATTATGAATCAGGGTCTGAATTTTGTGTGAAACTCGACTGTTAGAAGTGTAATCTGCGCAGTATGACACTACAGAGCGTTTTCTGGAGACACAAGTCCAAAGGAAAAATCCTCTTGTTAATAAATACACGCACAGCAATGTTAATTGTACATGCAACATACACTTTCTACTTCTGAGGAATGAATTTTATGTAAAATAAAATAAATTCTACTTAATTTGAACTTACTTATGGGCTCTGACGAAAATCATTATGTTACAAATGTGGAAGAATCTAATTTAAAGCGGAGTGTCTCATAAACGTTGGCCACCTACCTGTTATGAACCTGAGAATACTGAATGCTGAATAATAGACCTACCGATAAATGATATGACTGTTGGTGAGTAACTGCTCTCCTATATTGTCATTTAAAAAATCATGGAGAATATCCTGGAAATGATTTCTTAAAAATAGTGGAAATACTTATTGACTTCAATAGATCCCCTCCATCACTGTACTAATATATTACTATGACATAATCCATTTTGCTAGGCAGAGTACACCCCAATATGTAAAAGCCCTGATTATGTTTCTGGGTAAACTTGGCTATTTCAGGGCTCCGGACTAACTTTTTGTATTGGTTGTACTGGTGCTCCTAACTTTTTTTTTTTAGGTGCACAAAATGTAGGTGCGCCCAAATTTTTCATTGCGTCGCCTTTAACGCCGTAAGGTCACCTTTTTATCGCTCTCCATAACTTTCATATAATGTGAAGGATTTTTAAACAAGAATAAGGTGTAAATAAATGCTTGTCTTTATTTGAATTATATATAAAAAGAAAAATAAAGTGTTTAAAGTGCTTCACTGAGCTGAAATTGAACATTTCAAACTCAAACATTTCAAGTAAAATAATTATTGATGATAATAATAATAATGATTACTACTACCTGCCGCTGAAATGCAGCTGGGAGAGGGGCCATTTTCTCTACACACACTTGTGTGTTTTTAGACATGTTATGTTTTTTTAAAGTTTCGATACGAAACGTTGTTGACCCGCTCACGATGCACTATTTCCGTCCATATTCTGACCGTACCCCTGACAGTACACGCAGTGCATTGCGTTACGTCCTTTGTTGTTCCTCAGCCAGGGAAATTGTTTCAGCCAGTCCTGTCTGAAGGAATATATTTTGACCTTTTTAATTTGGTCTCGGAGCCGGGCTCTATCCCAGACTCGGTTGTCTCCTCTTCTGGTTCCGAGTCTGATGCTGTCGCCGAAGGACCGGGGCTCGGCAATTTTAAACACACACAACTTAGCGCGGTGAACAGGACCACAGCCAATCAGAGGCAAAGACCCGCCCGAGCTCTGTCTCTTATTGGTTTAGAACACGATATGATCCTACCATGAGTGTGTGAGTTCGGTCACAGGAGAACAGAGAGATGATGCGCTTGCGAAATGAATTTATGTTTTCACCTGGGCAGCGTCAGGTGCACCAGTGCGACACAAATTATTAGTCGCACTCTTAAACATTTTGGTCGCATGTTTTTTTTGGAGCCCTGTTGAAGTGCTTTGGTTCAGTGTTGGAGGAGGGCCAGGCGTCCTTTACTGCCACACTTTATAATCCATTTTGATGTCAGTGTGAAAAAGCTTTGACATGTTTGAGTAACATCATGAAAGAGAATTGTTAAGAAGTAGTCTCAAGTTTGTTCTGCCTGAAGGCATTTCTTGCAAGAGATATGTGAGCACACAGCAACCGTCCTTCTGTCTCTTATAACCTGAAGCTCAGCACAGTCTGCAGCTCTGTCACTAATTCCCAGTGTTTGTAATTTGTCTTTTGTGGCTTAATGTGGCATGGTGAAATTAGATCAGATCTCATGATATACCTGTTCCATACTGTTTGTGGTGTAAGATATTTGGCCTGTGTTGCAGGAGACATGGTGGGCCTTGCTGCTGTTGTCCTTATTGCCTGTGGTCTGGCCCTTCTATGTTCCTGGCGTCGCTCCCCGGGACTTCCATGAGGGTGATACAGTAGACATTAAGGTAAGACAGAAATTCATTAGATCCTGTGTAAATTTAAAAAACTATGATGAAAAATGTACATCAACAACCTTTTATCCCCAATAAGTAAGACACCTGACGTCCAAACACCCAACTTTATGCATTATAATAGCACAGTTGTCAGGACTGAACCTCTCCCAGGGCGCCCCCGTAGCTCACCTTGTGGAGAGTGTGCATGTACAGAGGCTGAGACCTTACCGCTGCGACCCCTTGCTGCAGGTCACTGTACTGCTACTACTATCTAATATCTGCAATAAAGGCCCAAAAAATCATCTTTTAAAAACCAAAGTCTGGGCGTCTCCAAGGGGCTTTTCTGCTGCTGGGAGCAGAGGGAGCTGTCCAGAGCGCTCTCTGCAAATATCTAGGCTTAACAAACAGATTAACTGTTCCAAAAGTGTTCTTCACTGTTGAACAGCAGAAAAACAAGTAACCCTCCTTTACTTCTCACTCACACACATACAAACACTGCACACACAAACAATGTATCCTGCACATTATAGGGAATTATAACAAAATGTGTAGGTCCATACAGTCTTTGTTTAGCCTACTGTTTGGTTGCACAGTATAGAAAATGGAGTTCACAGTTCCTGGATATATTCTGTTTTGACTTGCTTCGAGCACTGATCAGTGTAAAAGCATTTGTCTGCATGCACTGCATCACTCTGTATTTGAGACAGAGTGAAAGAGGGGCAGAAAAGGTGGACTATTGAATGTGATGTTTCTGTACGTTTTTAATAACTTACTCTGAACATTGCTTTACCACTTGACCTGCCCATGCCCTTAATATTTTCTAGTAAGTGAACCTGCCCAGCCTGCAGGTCCTACACATTGTGGGTCGAGCTACGCATCAATTCACAAGTGTAAAGATAGTGAAATGTTGCTGTATGAATTTCAACACTTGATACTCTCCCCTGTGGTTCCAGTTTCTGACAGTTCCCATGATCAGCTGATGTATTTACTAGTAGTTTGAATTCAGGTTAAAATCAGTTAAAAATGTCTGTCATTCAAAACCAAGTTGTTGTGAGTGTAGTTTTGCATATCGCAGTCAGTCAGATCATTTGTTTTTCAGGCAGTGAAGCTGACCAGCTCCCGTACCCAGCTTCCTTATGAATACTACTCCCTGCCTTTCTGTAAGCCCGAATCTGTTTTCTACAAGGGAGAGAACCTGGGTAAGTGCAATGCTGCTGAGTTTGTCTGAATTTATTTGATTTCATCCAATTTCAAGAAAAGCAATGCTATCTTACAATTAGCTTTTTTTAAAATACACATTTAATTTTTCAGTCTGTTTTTATGTTAACTTTATTTTATTGTTCTTCTTTGTAGGTGAGGTGTTACGTGGCGACCGCATTGTGAATACCCGCTACAATGTTGAGATGAACAAGGACAAGAAATGCGAGACAGTGTGTGACAAGAAAAAGCTCAGTGTAGAAGAAAGCAAGCTGGTTGCTGAGCGAGTCCAGGAGGAGTATTACGTTCACCTGTGAGCAGCCCTTCCTTACTGTTTTGCCAAAGATACATTTTACAGTTGTTACCAGCTGTAGTCTAAAGAAAAAAAACCAGTTGGAAGATAACTTGTCTTTGTCTATTCATTAACCCCTCTTGCATTTAGATTTTTTTGAATGTTCAAAATGCAAAATGAACACCTCGCCTTGTCTCTCAGTATTGCAGACAACCTGCCAGTTGCCACCAGGTTAGAGTTTTACCCCAACAGAGAGGCAGGAGGGGAGGAGGAGCAGAAGAAGGACGTGGTGAAAGATATCCAGTTTGAACATGGCTACAGACTGGGCTTTGTCGACAGCAACAAGGTACATGTTGTAAATGTCTGTCCTGAAGCAAGGTGGTTTAGTTATATAATACTATTTTGCACTTTCTCTTTTCATTATTTTGCCTTTAGTGATCAGCTTTTTATGAGAGATGGAACACTACATTTTCTACTAAAAACTGAAAGATTTTTTGTGTCTGTCATGTTTTTTGTGTACCAGTCAGGTTTTTGGCAATATTTGAATCAAAATCTGATGAAAGTTATAGGGCTGTTATCTTTATGTTGCCAGTTAAAACAGCACCCACACCTGAGATCTGATTTTATTAAATATTACTGAAAGAGTTTTTCAGCCATGAAACAATGAGTGCACGTAACCAGCACAACAGGATGCACCAGCAGTACTAGAAATAAGTCCTTTTTGGATGATATGCACATTAATATTTAAGGAGGACTAAAATGAAAAGTCTGATTGTATTTTTGAAGGGGGCTAATTCCTGTCATGCCCTTTCTCTTTTTTTCCCTCACAGTTTTATCTGCACAACCATCTGTCCTTCATCCTGTACTTCCACAGGGAGAAGCTGGAGGAGGGGGACGTTCACAACTACAGGGTGGTGCGATTTGAGGTCATACCCCAGAGTGTTAAAGTAGATGGTAGGTGTCAACACACTAGCTTTAGGTTGTGAATTGTTTCTGGTCTATGGTGATTAAAAGTGTTATTTGTAAAAGCAAGGAGGACACAGGGGATTAAAGTTTTCCATCGGTACGACAGATTTCTGTCAACTAGGGCAAATAACCCCGGCCCCTCAGCCTAGCGAGCTGAGTTGAACCGTTATTCAGATTTATTTATTCAGGCTGGTTACCGGATTGGCCACTGCGTGCATCGGGTTGCCTTTCTCCAAAAATGTATTCTGTTTGAGAACTTCTCCGCTGCAGGTCGCTCCTCCTGCAACACACCACCCCCATTCAAAATGAATGGGAAGGATCTGATTTGGTCTGAATCCGCCCTTAGCGATTTAGCTACTTATTCAGAGATGTTCTATTCATTCCCATGCATGCTGTACAGCTCTTCTCCTTCTCTCCCTCCTGAGCAGAAACTCACTCTCACTCTTTCTCTCCAGGTCTAGAATTAAGATGTTCCTATAGCTTGTAAATAAAATTTGAAATGGTTTGTTTGATCTTCTCCATCCCTTTTTAGAAAATATTCAACGTCCGTGTAGTGAGTTGATGATTATTTGGCTAAAGATTTCTCTGTCTACCTTTACCAGGAAAATCAAAAATTCTTGTAATACTCTGTATTTATTGTCAGATCTAAAGGCTGGGGAAAAAGGGACTTGCACGCTGCCTGAGGCTAGTGGCTCTGCCCCCCAGGAGATTGATCCGACCAAGGAGAACGAGGTCCTCTTTACCTACTCTGTCCGCTGGGAGGTCAGTGACTTGAAACATCTTGTAACCGGGAATCAGACTACTCTGTGACCCTGAATGTATTCCTAAAACCACCCAAATCAATGTATTTAATTATGCATTAGTCATCATCATCATCATCATCATCTTCATCCGCTTATCCGGGGTCGAGTCGCGGGGGTAGCTGGTCCAGCGGAGGACCCCAAGCTTCCCTTTCTCTGGCCACATCGGCCAACTCTGACTGGGGGATCCCGAGGCGTTCCCAGGCCAATGTGGAGATATAATCTCTCTACCTGGTCCTTGGTCTGCCCCGTGGCCTCCTCCCAGTTGGACATGCCAGGAACACCTCCCTTGGTTTTTTTCTCTCTCTGTCCTTCTGTCGTTACCGCTGCTTTCTCTCTCTCAATTTTCAGTTCCATTCAATTCAAATGGCTTTATTGGCATGACGTAACACTGTACATATTACCAAAGCAAGTGTTTGGAATTAAAAATAATAATAATAACAATAAGGGACAACAATATTTACAATAAATTAATTACAGTGGGTACGGAAAGTATTCAGACCCCTTTAAATTTTTCACTCTTTGTTTCATTGCAGCCATTTGCTAAAATCAAAAAAGTTCATTTTATTTCTCATTAATGTACACTCAGCACCCCATCTTGACAGAAAAAAAACAATGTAGAAATTTTTGCAAATTTATTAAAAAAGAAAAACTGAAATATCACATGGTCATAAGTATTCAGACCCTTTGCTCAGTATTGAGTAGAAGCACCCTTTTGAGCTACTACAGCCATGAGTCTTCTTGGGAATGATGCAACAAGTTTTCTCTGCCATTCTTCCTTGCAGATCCTCTCCAGTTCTGTCAGGTTGGATGGTGAACGTTGGTGGACAGCCATTTTCAGATCTCTCCAGAGATGCTCAATTGGGTTTAGGTCAGGGCTCTGGCTGGGCCAGTCAAGAATGGTCACAGAGTTGTTCCGAAGCCACTCCTTTGTTATTTTAGCTGTGTGCTTAGGGTTATTGTCTTGTTGGAAGGTGAACCTTCGGCCCAGTCTGAGGTCCTGAGCACTCTGGAAGAGGTTTTCTTCCAGGATATCTCTGTACTTGGCCGCATTCATCTTTCCTTCAATTGCAACCAGTCGTCCTGTCCCTGCAGCTGAAAAACATCCCCATAGCCTGATGCTGCCACCACCATGTTTCACTGTTGGGATTGTATTGGGCAGGTGATGAGCAGTGCCTGGTTTTCTCCACACATACTGCTTAGAATTAACGCCAAAAAGTTCAATCTTGGTCTCATCAGACCAGAGAATCTTATTTCTCATAGTCTGGGAGTCCTTCATGTGTTTTTTGGCAAACTCTATGCGGGCTTTCATATGTCTTGCACTGAGGAGAGGCTTCCGTCGGGCCACTCTGCCATAAAGCCCCGACTGGTGCAGGGCTGCAGTGATAGTTGACTTTGTGGAACTTTCTCCCATCTCCCTACTGCATCTCTGGAGCTCAGCCACAGTGATCTTTGGGTTCTTCTTTACCTCTCTCACCAAGGCTCTTCTCCCACGATTGCTCAGTTTGGCTGGACGGCCAGGTCTAGGAAGAGTTCTGGTCGTCCCAAACTTCTTCCATTTAAGGATTATGGAGGCCACTGTGCTCTTAGGAACCTTGAGTGCTGCAGAAATTCTTTTGTAACCTTGGCCAGATCTGTGCCTTGCCACAATTCTGTCTCCGAGCTCCTTGGGCAGTTCCTTCGACCTCATGATTCTCATTTGCTCTGACATGCACTGTGAGCTGTAAGGTCTTATATAGACAGGTGTGTGCCTTTCCTAATCAAGTCCAATCAGTTTAATTAAACACAGTTAGACTCCAATGAAGGAGCAGGACCATCTCAAGGAGGATCAGAAGAAATGGACAGCATGTGAGTTAAATATGAGTGTCACAGCAAAGGGTCTGAATACTTATGACCATGTGATATTTCAGTTTTTCTTTTTTAATAAATTTGCAAAAATTTCTACATTTCTGTTTTTTTCTGTCAAGATGGGGTGCTGAGTGTACATTAATGAGAAATAAAATGAACTTTTTTGATTTTAGCAAATGGCTGCAATGAAACAAAGAGTGAAAAATTTAAAGGGGTCTGAATACTTTCCGTACCCACTGTATAATCTATACTGTTGGTAATACTGTAACTATGACCGACTCAATCACAATCAATCAATCAATCTCAGTCAATACGTAATAAATTACAATTTCTCTCTGTCTGTCTCTCTCTCTCTCTCTCTCTCTCTCTCTCTCTCTCTCTCTCTCTCTCTCTCTCTCTAACCCCAACTGGTCGAGACAGACGACCACCCACCTAGAGTCGAAGGATCTGTCCTAGGTTTCTGCCTTTTAACAGGCAGTTTTTCCTTGCCCCCGTCGCCAAGGTCTTGCTCATGGTGGTACTGTTGGGTCTCTGTAATTAATGTTTTAAAGAGTTCGGTCTAGACCTGCTCTATTTGAAAAGTGTCCTGAGATAACTTCTGTTATGAATTGGTGCTATACAAATCAAACTGAATTGAATTAATTAATTTCTATCCATGTGATCATATCAGAGCTGGCTCTATTTGATTCCCTTTGGAGGGTTTGTTCCTTTTTAAAAATGGAGTGCTACAAGGTCAGATGATAAAATCCAGCAGTTTCAGTTCTCTAGGATATGGGATTAAACAAAACCAGATAAAAGTAGGAAGGACTGCTGAGTCTCTAGTCTCTTCTGTGCAGGAGAGTGAGGTGAAGTGGGCGTCTCGATGGGACACGTATCTGACCATGAGCGATGTCCAGATTCACTGGTTCTCCATTGTCAACTCCGTGGTGGTCGTCTTCTTCCTGTCTGGTATGTCTAGTTTTTGACATCCTGCTCAGCTCAACTTTCATTTGTTAAAGATCCCCTGCAGACATGTTTTAACATGTTTATATTTAAAAAGCTTCAGTTTGAATGATAATTTGTATCTATATCGCAAAAAAGTACCTTGTTAAAATCTTTTAATTACTTTACTCATTCTCCTTCATTAAAAATCCACAATCTATAAATATTTTTTTGACCTGCTGGACACAAGATGTCTCCTACTTCACTGTAAAGTCCATTCTCAGTGGATGGGCACTGGTGGCTTCAAGTTTCTACATCACACTGTACAAGTTACATACTGGACCAGGACTGATCCAAACTATTTGTGATGTCACAAATCCTGCTGGTAGGCCCCGCCCCGTAGAATCTGATTTTCAATGAGCACAGAGAAACTTTCCTCTTTCAGCAGATGAATGTGAAAACATCCTTCTAGAGTCAAACTCTGCAGAGACAGCATTCAAACAGCACACTGTAGGAACAAGAAGATTTCTGACCATATTTGCCGCAATAAAGTACTGTGATTCATTCCCATGGTAAAAATCAAATAAGTGAACACACAGCGTTGCCCTTGTGCTTTGGTTACACTTCTCTGGAAACTTTTGAAGCTTGTGAATGTAAATCTATAAAAGGTCCAGTGTGTAACATTTCGGAGGATCTATTGTCAGAAATGGAATGTAATATTCATAGCTGTTTTCATAAGTTTATAATCACCTAAAATTAGTAGCGTAGTAGGTTTTTGTTACCTTAGAATGAGCTGTTTATCTACAGAGGTGACTTCTAAAAAGTCTGCTATTTAAACCACAATGTTTCCACAGTAGCCCGGAACTGACAAACAAAACACTGGCTCTGGACTGAGGCGTTTGTGTTTTTTGCATGGTTTGTGGCCAATGTAGTTTTTCCTACATTTTTTGTATACGTCTGCAACTTCACCCCTAGATGTCACTAAATCCTACACACTAGTCCTTTAAATCTGTTACATTTTGTCACACAGATATACATAAAACAATAAATCTATAGTTGGATTGCAGCATGTGAAATGCAGAGATTCTGTCTTTCTCGCTGACTAACATTCTTCTCGTTCCCTGCCCTTTCTCTCTCAGGTATTCTGAGTATGATCATTATCAGGACCTTGAGAAAGGACATTGCTAACTACAACAGAGAAGATGACATAGTAAGAAAACCATCACCTGTTTGCTTAGTTTCAGAAAGTCTCTGTGGAAAGAAATAATGTCTTTGAGCATCTGTATAGGTCAGATTGATTTTATTTTAGTGTAAGTGAAACTTACACTAAGTATATTCCAGGCAATTGACCACATTTTCTACTCCCTAACCAGGAGGACACCATGGAGGAGTCAGGGTGGAAGAATGTCCACGGTGACGTCTTCAGGCCGCCTCAGTATCCCATGATCCTCAGCTCTCTGCTGGGCTCAGGGATCCAGCTCTTTTGCATGATCCTCATTGTCATCTGTGAGTTTTTTTAATTTTTTTTTTTATCATCAATCATTGATCTATTTATTTAGCCAGGCAACCAGAGGAGACTCCAAGGATTCACTGGCCCAGCCAACAAATCAGACATAACATGTTAATTAGAAATCTTTAAAGGTGCTGACAGGTAACCTCCTACAGTATAGACATGAGAGTGGTATCAATCGTCTCATTTCACTTTCATAAGGGATTCCTAAAATTAAGTTACTGTGGAACTTACTTAAACTTATGTAAAACAATGCATGATTATCAATATAATCTAAGAAAGGTTCTAAGTGTGTGTGTGTGTGTGTGTGTGTGTGTGTGTGTCTCTCTCTCTCTCTCTCAGTTGTTGCCATGTTGGGCATGTTGTCTCCATCCAGTAGAGGAGCTTTGATGACCACAGCTTGCTTCCTCTTCATGTTCATGGGGTAAGAGCCATATTCATCTCTGATCCTCATGAAGAGTCCCAGAAAATGGAGCCTGTTTTCATATGCATTTCTGTCTCACTGCTTTTTTCCTGTGGATGTTTCTTCTCTAGTGTGTTTGGTGGCTACTTTGCTGGCAGACTGTACCGCACACTGAAGGGCCATCGGTGGAGGAAGGGAGCATTTTGTGTAAGTCTGTAATAAGTTAAATCCTCAGTGTGAAAAGAATTGCCTCTCATCACTCCTGAGTTGGTATATTTGCTTAGCAGTGTTCTGCATGGCACATGGCAGTGTTAGCCACTTTTTATGTGTAATTGAAGTGCTTCTTACCCTGCTGTTGTTGTGACAGAGGCTTAGGGTTTGTTTGTTTTGTCTCCCCTGTAGACAGCAACTTTGTACCCTGCTGTGGTTTTTGGAATCTGCTTCATTCTCAACTGTTTCATCTGGGGAGAACATTCCTCTGGGGCGGTAAGTATTATGATTCAGATAAACATCATATAGAATGTATGCATCCATAGAATACAAGGAAATAGAAAGCTAGAAGGCTAATTACTTTATTGTACTGTGACGTTTATATTAAAGTCATAGCAGATCACTTTAATACTTTGTTTAAAGGAAATATTTACCCCAAATCACTGTTGACATGTTAAAATCAAATTATGTGACTTTAGAGAGAAAACATAAGAAACATATTCCTCTTACAAATGAGAAGTTAAAGCTGCAGTAGGTAATATTTATAAAAATACCTTTTTGTTATATTTGCTGAAACTTTCACTATATCCTGACAGTAGAACATGAGACAGAGAATCTGTGAAGCAATCAGGTTCCTCTGGTTCCTCCTAGTGCTCCTAATGGTATTTGCAAGAATCCACCGGGCCTAAATGAAACCAATACAACCAATCAGAGAGCTAATTGTTAAATATGAACGCTGGGAACAAAACTCAGCAATCGATCTTCAAGCTTGCAACCCAAAGTGTCTTTCTATCTTTCTTTGCTCTTATTGGCTGTTTTTGGGAACTGTTTGTATCAGATTATCTGTCTCATGTACTACTGTCAGGATACAGTAAAAATTTCAGCGAATATTACAAAAAGTTATTTTTATAGAAATGACCTACTCCAGCTTTAAATTCAACACCAGAACACATTTCAATACAATCAGCTTTTTGCTGCTGCAGCATCACTTGATCTGATTTGACCAGCAGCTTATGGTGACTAATAAGACTTGATGTGCTGAAAGAGAGTTTTCTGACTACTGCCACACTATGTTTCAGCATATCACAGACTAACCTTTCAGTGGCTTTATCACAAAAGTAAATTTAGGAAGTAAACACCATATTTATTTTTATCTGTGACATGCTAAATGTAGTGTACAGTAAAACAAACAAAGAAAAGTGGCTCAAAAGGTAGAGTGGATCGTCCACTAATCAGAAGGTTGTGAAGGTTGAAGGTTCTGTGTTATCGGCATGTGAATGGGGTGAATGTGAAATGTAGTTTTAAAGCGCTTTGAGTGGTTGGAAGACAAGAAAGGTGCTATATAAGTACAGTCCATTTACCATTTAAAACACTGCACAATCACAACTTTAAGTATGTTTTTCTATAGTACTTGTATACTTTTAACTTAGTAGGTTGTAGAATGCAGAACTTTTAGTACTTCTGCTTAAATAATGACCTGAATACTTCCTCCACACCTGGGGCCTCATGTACTAAGACTTGCGTGGATTTCCTACTAGAATGTGGCGTACACTGAAAGAGTGAAAGTTCCGTACACACCAAAAAATTGTATGAAGACGTGCGTACGCAGAATCCCACGCACATTTTCTTTGTACATCGCAATCAACATGAAATTGAGCGCACATGCACGAGCACAACGCTCCACCATGTCCCCTCCCTCAAATACACCGATTTGAATATGCTAATTAGTATAAATAGGCCTAGATAGTGCTGTCCTTAGGAAAATGGCAAAAGCCAGGAAAAAAATAAATGTGTGAATTGGAGGTGCTGCTGACGGAGGTAGAGGCCAAAAAAAATGTATTTTGCGTGGCACAGGCAGTAAACTCGTTAGGGTCGGAGAACCGCACCGCAGCAGACTTGAAATAGAAGTGGTCAGATATGAAGACATATCTGCCCATCGCCAGAGCCTTCAGGCCACAGGTGGTGGAGTCCCTGTATTACGGTAGACTGATATACTGTACTGCTGTATTGTGAAAGGGTTACGGTACGTACAAGACGTGACGTCACCACGCTCCCAGTGAGCGCTAGTTGTTGTTGTGTGTGAGCCATGCTGATGAGACGGCGGCACATCGGTCCGCACTTCATTGTTAACTGTTACATAAATATGCCAAGAGGCTAAAGATAATTCGAGTGTGTTCTACTTCCTCCACACGCAGTAGAGGACTGCTCGCTGCAGTAAATAACCCCTTAACACAAATAATCTGCAAATGATTTAAAATTGTGTAGCCTAATAGCTAGATTGATTGTAAATAATAACGCTTTCGCATGCAGTGGAACTGTCCCGAGAGCAATTGTTAATTTCGGCTATGCAATTTCAATGCATTGCCTGTGAGTGTCGCCAACTGACAATTGACATAAGCAAAACATATGTACGTATGCCAGCAATGAAGCTGCCGTGGAGGACCACACATTCTCACGTTCATTTCACTTTTAGTACATCCGAACGTGAACGTGAAAAATGGCGTATGCACGAATTTTGTGCGTACGCAACGTTAGTACATGAGGCCCCTGGTTAGCACACACTGCACCTGTGCAGTTAGGCTGCAGTTAGGCTGAAAAGACAACACACAGTAACAATTATACAGCAACCTGAGCCAATCTGCACAGTTACATACTTTACACACTTTAAACAAGAAAAAAACATTTAAAAATGTCCAAAAATCTTTACATAATTATTGTAACCATTAACCACTTCAGGTCCCCTTCACCACAATGCTGGCCCTGCTGTGTATGTGGTTCGGTATCTCCATGCCCTTGGTCTACCTGGGCTACTACTTTGGCTTCCGCAAACAGCCGTATGATAACCCAGTACGCACCAACCAGATCCCTCGGCAGGTCCCAGAGCAGCGTTGGTACATGAACAAGTTTGTAGGGTGAGTGTTTAACCGACGTAGAAATCTGCTCCTTTATCTCTGGCCAGTTACAGGGATGGGTGATGGCTACAGGATAACATTTGAATTATTGAGTTGAGACATGTTTTCTTGCATTTCTTTCAACTAGAATCTTGATGGCTGGAATCCTGCCATTCGGTGCTATGTTCATCGAGCTCTTCTTCATTTTCAGCGTGAGTACAACTGTGTTGCTGCACTGTGATCAGTTCAACAGACAGATCATCTCTGACCTCAGACAGAATTTCCTCAAATTGTTCATTAGTTACATTCAGAGGATGAGTAACTGTGTGTGTGTGTGTGTGTGTGTGTGTGTGTGTGTGTGTGTGTGTGTGTGTGTGTGTGTGTGTGTGTGTGTGTGTGTGTGTGTGTGTGTACAGGCAATCTGGGAGAATCAGTTCTATTACCTCTTTGGCTTCCTGTTTCTGGTCTTCATCATCTTGGTGGTCTCCTGCTCTCAGATCAGCATTGTAATGGTTTATTTCCAACTCTGTGCAGAGGTAAGTCCATTAAGGATAGGTGTGACTACAGTTCAGTAAACTGTAATTTACAGAACAATAAAAAAACAAAAAAGCAATAGTTACAACTTATAAACATTTATAGACAACCTAATATGAAAGAAGTTGCAGTTCATTGATGTTGGGACCACATTTAACAAATGCTTGTGGAACCAACAGTGTGTGTGAGCCAACATTATGCAGCAGTAAACAACCCTGTTGCTCCTACCTGAACCTCATCTGTACACACACCCCTGTGCTGGGTATTCTCTGTATCTCCTCACTGTCAGGACTACCGATGGTGGTGGAGGACTTTCCTGGTGTCAGGAGGCTCAGCGTTCTACGTCCTCATTTACGCAGTCTTCTACTTCATCAACAAGGTAAAGGCCCGGAGGCTCTATCAGACATTTCAGATGTCCACAACTTTGATTCACTGCAGTAGAAAACATCACTGTTAACAGGCAGAATGTGTGTCATATAATGATTAGTGAGGGATAATGCCCTTCAAGGTTTCCATTATCGTCTCCATGTCATCGATTAATTCCTGATAATGGACACCTCGAAGGGCATTATTCCACTTATACCATGATCACTTGTCAAAGACAAAAAATGACATTAATATTTTAATATTATTTTAATAATATTTTAAAGTTTTTTACGAGCAATAACTCCCTCCCCAGGTCCTTTCTAATACCTGGAAGAATCATTACCATCCCATAAAGTTCTAATGCATTAACGTTGTTCACCACTCCAGTACATAGGATGAACCACAGATACGACTTGGCAACAGGTGATATTTCTAGTTCCCTCTGCTCAGAGAGAGCAAAACAAGCACAGTAACAATCAGACCGACTGTCTTTTATTCACGCCAACTGTCACACCATTATGCTGACAGTTTGATAAAGCCAGCTGTGTAATGTACTTCATAACTGAAGAGGGCTGCACTAAAGAACAAAAAGTCGGAAGATCTCAGCCCTCTGCTGCTTTGATTTTTGTCCATTTTTAAAAGAATCTGCCTCTTACAAGTTTGTTACCAACCAGGCTTTGGTGGTATGTAAGTACCTTAAGTAGAAATCCACAGAGCTGGGAAATGGCCAGCATGTTGAAATGGATTTTACTTCTCTTTCTTTGTCTCCAGCTGGACATTGTGGAGTTCATCCCCTCTCTCCTGTACTTCGGCTACACAGCGCTGATGGTCCTGTCCTTCTGGCTGCTAACGGGCACGATCGGCTTCTACGCAGCCTACATGTTCATCAGGAAAATCTACGCTGCGGTCAAGATCGACTGAGTCGTCACTGACGCTGCTGTTCTTGTTGGGTTTTTTTGTTTGTTTGTTTTTGTCACATTCTGTTTTTTTAATGTATATATTTTTTATTCTTTATGTCCAACAAGCACTGACTTGTGTGTCGAGGGAATGGAGAGGGGGTGTTTTTTCGGCGCAACAGCCCCACCCACTGGCCTCATGGGGGAAGAACAGCAAGGTGGCAGAGCTAAACCAGTTGTTTCTCTCTCTCCCCCTCTCTCCCCCCTCCGCTTCTATCCCGCCCCCCACCACCCCCTCCTTATTCCAGGACAGAGACCCAGAGGGAATTCTCCTCTGATGGGACAGTTAATGTCCTCTGCTGTTTCACCTTGCACACAACACAGTGGGCCAAAGCTTGTCAAATGATGGTTTCTGCACACTGTCTTTTCATTTGTGTTAGTCTAACTTATGCAGGTTTTTATTTTTGTCGTCACAGGATGTTTCTCTGACCTAATTTCTTTCAGTCATCTTCTGGGAAGCTACTTTCATCTGATTTCCATACATAAATTCTGTCTTTCCATTGTCTCCGTTTCCAAATGTCACTTTGGTATCATTTGGGAGACTTTGGAGATCAGGGAAGGATTGGGGAGTCTTAACTGTGGTTATGGTGTTAGCTTTGTTGTGTCCAACTGATATGGATGGAAATTATGCTGGGAAGTTCTACAATGTAACAGAAGAAAGGATAAATTAAATGTTCTATTATTTTTTACTTCAGTTTCCATGTCCTGGTGTGACCATGTTAACCACAACTATAATCAAAATATTAGCTTCTCCTTCCAAAACAATGGGTCTCTTATTAATGTCAAACATATTGGTCCATTTGCTCTAAATGATACAGAACAGCTCTGAATGGGACTATGAACCCGATGCCCTAAAGCAGCGGACTGTTGGGTGGAGCTGCTGAAGTTGGAGAAAAGGAAAAGCTACGGGCAACGCAGAAATGACAAGGAGGAGCAACCTTTTGTATTTGGAAGACTAAAATACAAATGTGTGTTTGTTGCTTTCCAGTAGAAACTTACAAAAAAAAGTACAGGTTTTTCTGCTCATTAACCACGCCGTCAGTGTAGCCTTAGCAGTGCCGGACGCCTGCTGAACTATGCAGTAATGGAAGGAAAGAGCAAAAATGCTCAAGGACCATTTTTGTTGAGAAATAACGCCTCATTTCTTTGAGTCTGAATCTAATGTATGATACATTTTTTGTGTATAATATGAAAAATCTTTTGAAAGCCAGCGAGATCGCCTCTGTGTGCTTCTGTCAGCAGTGGCAGAGCAGTGAAATGTAATCCACAGTGATGTTATTAGAGCTGTACAGTCGATGTTCTTGTGTAGACTGATGCCCATATTCATGTTTTTTCCTTTTCCAAAGCTGCAAATCTGTGGTTGTGTTTCATGAGATTTTTCCACTATAATCTTTAAGTTGCTTTTCGAACATGGGTGGAACCTGATTAAAACTTTTGCTTGACAAGCAACTCAAGCTAAGGGCTTCCCACAGACAAATAATGTATTTTACTGTAGCTAAATTACACAATATATATATCAATCAAATGACACCATAGTCATGACATTAAAGGAATAGTTTGATAGTGTGTGAAATACACTTAGTTAGCTTGAAGCTGCAGTAGGTAACTTATAAAAATAACTTTTTGTCATATTTACTGATACTTTCACTATATCCTGACTGTAGTACATGAGACATCATCTGTGAAAAATAGAAAGACACTTTGGGTTGGTGGCTTAAAGATAGTTGATTGTTGTTGAGTCTCATTCTCAGTGTCTATTTGAATGCCTGGGAATGAGACAATTAACTATCTTTGTCTGGCGCTGATTGGTTATTTTCGTTCAGGCCCGGTGGATTCTTAAATTGCCATTAGGAGCACCTGATTTTTTTCACAGATTCTGTCTCATATACTACTGTTAAGATACAGTGAAAGTTTCAGCAAATATAACAAAAGGTTATATTTATAAAAACTAAATACTGCAGCTTTAATACAGAGACAGAAAATGGCTAGCCTCGAGCTCTCCAAAGGTAACAACATTTTTCCACTGTTTAGCTCAGTTAACCAGCGGCTGGAGATAGCTTCATATTTAGCATACACTTTAGTCTACAAGGAAGCAATTTAGTGTACTAACCAAAATGACAAACTATTCCTTTAAAGACAACATGAGCAGATCGATATCATTCTAACCCTGTTATGTATCTCCAGCACAGAACTGTTATCATTCTCTGCTGTCCTGTGACAGAAAGCACTGACAAACACTGACGCATGATTACAACATAGTCAGTGGTGAATGTTAGGAGAATATTCTCAAGGAGACTGAACTCCAACAAGCAGCACAGACCTGAAAATCTGCTCCTGAATAAATCTTTAAAAATGAGACCCATACAGCATGCAGGGCACTCCCGAGCCCTTCAGGTAAATATTGGAGTTGTGTTAATCAGGGTCTTGGTTACCATCAGACTAATTTTAGAAGTTCTTCACATGATTAGTTTGTAGTGGTTGGCCGATTTTTCAGTGTGGGGCCATGCAGAGGAGGGACAGGTGCCTATAATAGATCAACCCTGATTCTGGTAAACCAGATGAATGAGTGAGTGAATCATCCCCCTGCACCCTTTCCTTCCTACATTGTAATCAAGCCAAGCAAACACTTGTTAAGCTATAAATGAGCTAGTTGAAGAGAGCCAGCCAGATTACTGAAGTGAACCCTGCCACTTGCTATGGGACGTGACTGCTCATCCCGGAGGTTGCCTCCATTCAAATGAGTGTACTCTTGTATTGACCATCACTATTTCACTTATTTCCACTCAGATACCATCTCTCTACTCTCCCCTCTGTATCATGTCAAAGAGTTCCTGAGCTCCGACACTTGGCTGCTGTCTTATATAAAGACAGACAGATGCTCCTCTCCTGCTGTCGGAGATTTTTTACAGATAGACTTTTAAGAGGCCCGAGTCATGCAAGTGTATGTATGATCCAGGGGTTTACAATGTACATAAAAGAGAACTGCTTTGTATTTGTTGCGTTTTGCTGTTTGTGGCGCTCTCTGTAATGATCCTCTCATCGTTTTAGCCAAAAGCATGATGCTCATGATGACTGTCAAAGGAACTTGTTTCTGTTACTTTTCTCTTTGTTTCTTTTCCAGAATGTCCAGTTACAAAATGTACAAAAGCAAAACAATAAAGTGATGACAAGTTGAATATGAAAATCAGCTTCCACTATGTTTTTGAAAGATTCTTAAAGGTCCAGTGTGTAACATTTGGTTTATTGTCAGAAATGTAATATAATATTCATAGGTATGTTTTCATTAGTGTATAATCACCTGAATTTAAGATTTGTTATGGTTTTGTTACCTTAGAATGATACGTTTTTATCTACAGGCACTGCGGGTCACCTTTTATGGAGGCCACTATGTGGAACCGCCATGGATGTGGACTTCAAAACAGTATGTAACACATTAAATCATATTTTAACGGTGAACAAGTCCATGTTAAACTTACTCTTTGTTCTTCTGTGTGGTTTGGAGGGAAAAGAGGGAAATCAGACCTGAAGGGTGGAGCTTAATAATCTTGGGGGAGTGGTTTAGAGAGGAGTGGCAGTGATGCAGGTGGGGAGGAGACTTGCGATTTAACAGCCGCCCCTTTAAATGGTACATTTGAATTTGATAAACAAATCACAAGTTAGTCCTTCGGATCAGGTTCAACTGATGAAAGGGTGACCAACCTGGCCACTGGTCTAATAAACCTCTTCTTTTTAGTGGTGACCTCCACAGTTTGGGTCCTCCCATCTTGACTGGGTAACAAGCGTGACACTTTTCCTACAGGCCATAGACCTCTAGGCAATTGGGCGTCCAGTATTACTACAGCTGTTCCTTCCTGCACAGTCTGAGTGTCTTTTTGCTATTTATTTCGTACCTGTGGCAGGCCCAAAACCAATCAACTAGTATTTGACTCTGCCACCATCGTCTCCGTCCCAGCAAGATGGTATCTGCATAGACAGCCTGTGGAAGAGAAGCATCTTGCGGCCCCATGAGAAGGAGATTTGGGGTAATGGGATCAGGATCTGCTATATCAGAGGATTCATAGTGAATTGGTTTGGAATTTAGAATTACTTCTATCTCCACTAGTAATGTGTGTTGGACTTCCTCAAAAATGGTTTGACTTCCCACTGGCACCCTGAGAACAGCTTTAATAGACCTGAGTGGATTCATGGCTGCAAATGCATCTCACAGCTCTCGGTCTCCTCCCTTGAAGTTGGTGCCACAGTCAGAAAGCAGCTCATAGGGTGCAATAAAACATCTCTCAGCTCGACGGAGAAGGGGCATAACTGATTCAAAAGGGGCATTCAGTTCAGGTACACTTTCTTCCTTAACAAAGGGGTTGTATAACATACACATAGGGGACTTGTGATGTGAACAGACATTGTGTAGAATCACATTACTCACCAAGGGAAGTTGGGCCATGTAGAGCCCATCCAGTAACTGCGGCAGTTAATAGAAACTTTTCCAATAACACATCTCCAAGTCTGCCAAACAGCTGTAAAGGTGGATGCAGAGACATCATATCAACCTGTGTTTGGAGAGAGATTTAGCGAACTGACACAGGGCTTTATTGACATCAGTGCCCAGCTGATCGTATGGACGCAGCAGCAGTTGGTGATTGATTCAGCTTAACAGTTAATTGTGATTCTAACTCATGTTTCTACATGTTACACTTATAATTGATTAAGTACCTGAGCAGTATATGAGCACGGGTTACGGATTGGGTTGGGTCCGGATTTGACTTGGAGATAATTATGGGTAACGGGTCGGTTCTTGTTCTAATCTCTGCAGGTGCGGGCGGATACGGGTTTGCAAAACTGGACCCATGCAGGACTGGCCTAGAAGGCGTTAGTGGAATCAGTTGGCATGGAGTTTGAAAGATGTCTGCATTTTTTAGGCAAATTAATTCTAGTCAACGATGCTATTGAGTTACTTGTCAGGTTAACTCTGGCTCAGCTGCATCACCATTCTTTTGTGAATGTCTCTTGCTCCCAACTTTGTGGACACTCAGTTGCTGGAGTACCACTTTAAATGAGACTTCTGTTGTGTATGTGTGCCTGTCAAGGTGTTAAATCCTGGTTTGTCCCTGTGTCCCTGAAATGTTCAGTGTCTGGATGGCTGTGATCAAATTACAAGTCTGTGTTGTGTGGTCTCGGTCCTCTCAAATCCTTTTTACAAGCTCTCCAGGTTCCTCCTAAGAAAATTCTACAAAACCAAAAGAGTTTCTATTCCTGAGTTATGGCACAGTTGGCATCCCGTAAGTGTATGTGTGAGAGTCAGCTCAGTTGATGTAAGTATAGGTTAGCCCCATAGTACTATAATTAGGGCAGTCTTGACACTCAGCTATGCAGCAGGCTTACTTGTGCAGCTCTCTGAGACATAATCCAGACCCTGATCCAATATAAGTTAGATACACAGTGGGACACAAGCCACTCAGATAGTCCTGGGATATTCTGGGATGGCATTTTAAACTATTTTTTGTACGGTGATTCATTTTATGGCACAGGGGTCTCCCGAAGCAGCTGACAGGTACTGGGAGGCCAAAGCAAAAACCTGGGTGTGGGAGTTTGGGGCGACTTTTGGTTGGCCTTAAAGAAGTTCTGGCAAACCATTAGCTGACTCAGGGAGGGAAATTAGAGCTCAGACTATGTTCATCAGAAGAGGAGAACTGCGGGATATTGTCGAGTGGTGGAGATATTGCATCTGGGCTCCCTGCAGATGATGGCTTCAGCCTACACTGGGGTGGTTTGGAGTGACTGTGAAGCAGTTGGGATGAGAGTCAGCAAGTCCAAGGTCATGGCTCTCTGCTGGAAAATGGTGGATTGCTCCTTCCAGGTTGGGAGTGAGTTACTGCCCCAAGCAAAGGAGTTAAGGTATCTTGGACATAATGCTGGTGTTGTATCAGACCATTGTGTGTTGAGCCGGAAGGCAAAACTTCCAATTCACTTGTAGATCTACATTCCAACCATCACCTATGATCGTGAGCATTGTGACGGACAGAATGAGATTGTGGAAGCAGTTAGAGATAAGTTTCATTCATTAGGTGGCTAGGCTCACTAATAGAGATAGGATAAGGTGTTCATCCGGAAGGACCTGGAGTAGACCCAGAACACGCTGGAGCAGGGTTGCCCAAAGTGGCGCCCACGGGCCAATCACCACAAGGTAAACCTTTTTAAAAATCTCTGTTTATGTTGCTTTATTTTCTGTGAGGTAGAAATGCTATTTAAATATGTTGGATTGTTAATTATGAATTATCTTTCATAATCTGAGTTTGCCAGGCAGTATGACACTTGACACAGGAATTCATTCAATTAAGGGAACTTTTGCACTTTCTGGCCTATATATCATCTGACTTAGGAGCACCTCAGGGTCCACTAGGAGGAGCTGGAAACATTGCTGGGAAGAGGGTTGTCTGGACTGGCCTGTTGCCACTGCAACCTGACCCCGGATGATTCAGTTTTATTACTTGCTATATTTCTTCATTCAAAATCAAACTAAATATTGTGAAAATCATGGAGATTTGGTCATTTACACATAATAGTCTACCCTATGTGTAGCTAAGATATAGTAATGTTCAGTGTCTGAGTTTGTGGGATTCTCCTCAGACAAAGCTTGGTAAAAGTTACACCCTCCCTCCACCTCCTTGCTCGTTTTGCTCAATTCCTCAAAGTCTATAGGATCATTATTATGTTATTGGATCCCATAGATACTCAACAACTGAGCCAAGCTAGCCCAATATTACTGTTTCACATAACTTCAGACTACACCAGATACAAGAAAGGTCTGTTCTAAGCCTTTTATTAATTTCTGACTCTAAAGAATAGAATTTCCCTAAATCTCTGAGCTCTTTAAAAAAATCACACATTTATGCTATAATGTCATTTTGATAACTAAACTCCTTACTTACTATTGAGCCTCATTCTGAGTATGTTAGCAATCATGTGTCTTGTCACGTGGTGACTGCCTATAGAGGGAGAATGAGAATAATGCGTCTGGTCAAACCATTCTCGCTCCGCTCTGTTTGAAGCAGTCGATCAGGATGATGGATGGATGGATGGATGGATGGACTTGAGGAAGTGAGAAAATGAGAAAGGCTGATCCTGTCAGCTCAGATATCACTCCTCCAACAGTCAATCTATGTGTGCTATGTGATATCAGTTTTTTCAGTAATCAGTAATTTGTCCAATACTTCAGTTTATGACTAAATGCCTGAAAAACTATGACATTCCCACCAGCCTCAACTGTACGTTTTAGTGCTAATAATAAATGTTAGCATGCTAAATCAAGATGGTCAACATGGCTAACATTATAACTGCTGCAGTCTTATACCTCTGCAGAGACAGATCTAGAGAAATGGGGTTAAATAAAGGCCTGTCATTTTATGTCCCAGCTAAGGTCTTAGGTCTATAAGGTAAATGGAGGTCAAATGTTTAAATGTTGATGCTAACAATAAACAGCCACACTGTAAAAAAAAATCTGTATTTTTACAAGTCAGTTATTTTTATGTTATTTTACATTATTTCTTTGGCAACCCAGCTGCCGGACTATTACCATTTTTACTGTATTTTTTTTTACTGTATGCATTAGAATTGTAATTAATTAACCATAGAAAAAAAGTTTTTTCAAATTCTCAGAAAAAACAGAAAGACATGACCACCTCCTCATCCATGGTAGTTATGGCCATGTATAAGGGCTTAGTCTAACAGTTTAAATATATGGGGCAGCTGTGGCTCAGAGGTAGAGCAGGTTGTCCACTAATTGTATACAATATATATAATAATTATTCCTTTGTAGTGATTTTTTACATTTTATAAAAGAAAGGAAAGAGAAGAAACTCTTAATAATATAACAAATAAAAAAAGATGCAATTCAGGTATGAAACCGCTGGTTTGTCTTTTAATAATTTCAACATAACACATAACAACTCAAAGATACACTGTACTGTACAATAAGTCAATAGTTCTGTTGTTGTGTTCATCATCTCTTTGGATCAACCAATATACAAATCTGTCACTTTTACATTGCAGCAACTGATTGCATGTGAGATATGTAACAAAAAAAGCAAGACTTCTCATTTTCTTCCTTTCTCCGAAGCACATCATTTATATAATTCTCCCTGTAGTTGATAAACTCCATGCTATATAAAATAAGTGAAGTGAATGCAAATATTCTATTTTCTTTCACCTTTTTTATTCCAGAGGTGGCTGTAATAGCAAGTGATAAAAATAAAATGGGCTATGTCACTAAAACGAGATACACAAAGAGGTTGGAATGCAAGACTTACTTTAAGCTAGAAATATATAAAACTACATGTGGATGTTGCCTGCATCAGACAGTACCCAGTTTCTTACTAAAAGCAAAGAGAGAGAGAGGGAGAGAAAGAGAAAGCGTTATTAAAATCAAATCAGCTTTTCTCAGGCAAAACTGATGAAAAAATTCCCTTAAAATGCTTGTGTTCTGCACCTAGTAGTAAAGAGGATAGAGTAAAGATAAGTGCATCCCTAGTAGGTGCAGGTCGAGGTAATGAAGCTACAGCCAAGCCGAGAAACAGAACAACATCACTGTCAGAGGTCAGGAGAGAATCCAGTTTATATCTTTAAGGGTTTAAGAGTTGTGCTGATTTGGAATCAGCTTTTTCTGTCAGCTCGAATCACAGAAGCCCATTTCTACCAGAAAAAGAAAAAAATAATTAAAACATGTAAAAATCCTACTAGTGGTAAGTTGAAATGATGAGATATTGTATAAAGTAAAAGTATGAGATACTAAGTCAGAATTATAACATAGTATGTCAGAGATAAGAGATATTGAGTCACATTTTGACTTACTGAGTCAAGTAATAACTTTGTAGTATGCAGTAGTAATAGTTAAGAGGTCACTATTTTGACTTAGTAACTCAAAATTATAACAGTAAATTAGAATTATGAGATAGGAAAGATTTTCTTTTCTTCTGCTCTTTTCTAAACTGAAATGGGCTGCCATACTGATCTGGGAATAAGTCTAGAAACAGTGCCCATTTTCCCAGAATGATCCCTCTATGCAGAATGACTAACCCAGTATATATATTTAAAAAATATATATTAGTAATGCGGGAAACACTCTGTCACCAATATGAGCTCAGGTGGTACAACAGGTTGTTGTTGTAGGTGTTTCACAGCTCAACACAACAAGTACAACCTGACCACATTTCCATGTTCAACAACTAAGACCTTTTCACTTCTGTCTTAAATATCCAAAAATCATTATGCTCTTTTTCTCCTATTTTAATGTTTAGTAACATTCATTTAAAGCTGCAGTAGGTAATTTTTTATAAAAAAAAAAACCTTTTATCAATTTTGCTTTCACTATATCCTGACAGTAGTACATGAGACAGATAATCTGTGAAAAATCAGGTTCCTCTGGTTTATTCTAATGGAGACCCAACCATCAATCATCGTTCTTAGCTCTGATTGGACAGGCCTGGTGGATTCTTGTAAATGCCACTAGGAGCTCTAGAAGGAGCCAGGGGAACCTGATTATCTGTCTCATGTCTCATGATATACTGACATTTATTTTTAGTTAGTTAGTTATTTTTATAAAAATGAATGAATGCAGCTTTAAAGCCACATTTGAGTACTTTGCAATGGATAACTGAAACTGTAATTCTTATATCTAGTCATTATCAGCATGAAGCTGTTCCTTGTGGCCGGGACAACCAGGATCAGGGCTGTGAGCTCTAAGTTCTATATTTTGGGGTCACTCCTGACTTCATTCTTGTTCAGTTACATGGTCTAAAAATGGCCTGTGAAATGAGTCTGTTGCAGCCTTTCAATGGCAGGTTGTGGTCAGGCTGTGGCTTTGACAACGGTCTCACCGCCTCAGAATAACAGATATGTTGTTACTGTTCCCTTAATACGCTTGGCTATAGAGTTTGATTGGGTAAATTTGAGAGAGAAGGCGAAGCTTGCCCAAAAAACAACAAGGTTTCAAAGGAGAAGGGGGCTCTTATGTAGAAGAATATTAGTGAAAAGTCTATCAAAAATACTGTTATTCTTTTGGAGAAAGAGAAATACACAAATGGTTGATAAAGTCTACACATCAAACTAATGGCACATACATATACAGGATCAATACAAAATTAAAAACATATGAACATATAAGCTGAAATTTTAAAAGAAAAAAAATACTCTTTTTTTTAAAAGGTTGAAAGTGCTAGAATTCAGATTAGCTCACTGAAACCCAGGGAGGACAAACTTAATACATGCCAAAAGCTTTTCCTTAACTTTTCTTTCTTTTAGGACTAAATGAATATTTGTTACAAATATATAAATGCTCAATTTGATTGCTACAAATTTGGCTTAAACTAAGAGGGTTTTTCTTAAAAACAACCTTTTTTTTTAAGCTCATAATAAAGATCAAATTTGATCAAATTTTTTTAATATATCATGTAAATTCTTAGAAAGGTGCTAACAGCTAATTCATTTAGGATCAATGAAAGTTTGATCATTTTACAAGAGTCATCATCAAAATGACAACTTTCCAGGGGGGAGACTAATAACTAACTAAAAATAAGTTTCAAATTAGTTCAGAACTCGGATTATAAAATCTAGGATTTTGGCAGTGGGGTCAAACAGTCAGACTGCTGGGACGCTTCTTCTGGATCAGTGCTCGCTGATTCGGAATTTTCAGCAGCCCTTACCACCAAGGGGAATATTCACCTGTCTAACACACACAGCTCATTGTCGGGGGTTTCATATACTACAGTATCAAAAAATCGCAGAACACTTTTAGCATTTTGTAACAAGCAATTGTGCAAAAATGTAGTTTCTTCTCCCCAGGTTTTGGTAAGAAAAATAAAAACAAATAAAAATGAGGTGATGTGTTGTGTTGTTTTTCGAGGTCCTGTTTTACACAAACAGAAAATAATATATCATACGACAACAAACAAAACAAATATATGACTATGAGCAATACCCCAAGTCGTGCAGTCAGTCATGTGTCCCCCTGTACTTTGAATGTCAAAGCCCGGGAATTCGGTGACTGCGTTCTTCCAGATATCGCGGTATTTTCAGACCCTTTTCCTTTGACTCTACAAAGCAGCTGAGAGGAGGAGGAGTACGGAGGGGATGGGGCCCGGGGGATGATAAACACTATGTCGGTTCGGTTTGTGCATGTTTTCAGCTCGCTGTCCATCTTGCAAAAAAAAAAAATTGAAATGTTCTAGTGGTCTACAGTTGTCGTCCATCAGCAACCGCAGCTAAAAGCAGCAATATGTATTTAATTTTTTTATGTGCTATGTTTTTCCTGTTTTTTTGTTCATTTTTTTGTTTGTTTTTACTCAACGTTTAACGATGGCTGTGGCTCACCTGTGGCACGGCGACCACTGTAGGCAAAGGTCTTGTTCTATGACTGGAACGACACTGAATGAACTATGACAGATGCTGCAGGAGCTCAGCCCTCTGTGCTGTGTTATGTTCTGGATATGCCAGCTGTGTTGGTCATGCCACAGACAACATTGGATAAAGAGCACCGATTTCTCTTTGAGGTTTAAGTTAACTTAGGACTCAGGTTTTTAGAGGCTGGTGGTGGAAGGTTTAGGGCTGTCACTTTTTCTATGAAATTCAAAGTGTTCACATTAAACATTTTAAAGCGCAACAGACCTTTTTAAGTTCTGAAGTTTGCCTTGTGGTCCAGCAGAGGGCGCTCTACTATCAGCTTGACCTATGGCATGCCCTATTGTCCTGTCAGTAAACTAAGCTAGTAATGTCATGCTGTTTACTACAAAATGGAGGGAGCAAAGCCGTCCTGATAGAACACTGGTGACACCAAATCATCTGAGTATCAGTGTGCTTCTGACGGCTTGGTACAAAGCAGCTGTTTACGATGACAACAAATCTCCCAACTTACTTGCGAATGTTAGCTTAGCACTCAGGAGAGGCAGTGCTGCGGAGGCACCACAGACAAACAGAGCAATGTCGACTGTTCAACCTCTGTGACTGTTCGACACACTCAGCTTTAGCCTCGCTAAAAGCTCAGCGTTAAGATAGAAGGATTCATATGCAAGGATATGTGGCCCATTAGTGTGGTAAGAACGAATGTCTTTTGGTGCATTCCCACCAAAGGCAAATCAATGACTACCACGTCATTCACGTCGCCTGTCGCAAACGAGCAAAAAGTTCAAAATATTGAGTTTGAAGCAGAAAACGTTCCCATATCGTGGGGTATTTGCAGCGTTGTATGGACAGAGTAAACACAAATGATCCCGTGATTCGCCATTGGTGGGAACACACCATTATACTTTAATATAGTCTTTACGTGTTTTTTCGTACTTTTTCCCATTCCCCTAATTGTTTGTGGATTTATTCAAACAAATTGCATGTCATTTCTAATTTGTTATAAGTTGAGTTTTTTTAGAAAGGTGACAGCCATAGAAAGGTTAGAAAGGATCTAAACTCCAAGATATCCAAAAACCACTGAGCTTGGAGCCTGGATTTCATCACAGCGCAGGGTTTACATATTCCACTGGATAAAGACCTATAGTCACAGATTCATAGGCCATGCCATCCATGTCAGCATCCTTATGACACAATCTATCTAGCTCAAATCCTAACAGATTATTAAGCCGCTAACAGCCTCCTACAGATAATTCCCATCCACAGTTCTGATCCTGCTATACTAACTCACATACATGTAAAGGTAAAGATTGGATATAACAGAGAAAGCTTAAGGGAAAAAGCTAATACTTCATCCGTTTGTTTGATCAAAATGCAAGATACACACAAATGTAAACCTGCCAGACATCAAAAACATCATCACTTAGTTTTAATACGTCTACCTAAAATACACCTTACTGAGATAAAAGCAATAATAATATTCATTTTTGAGATATTTCGTACACTGCAATAACATTCTTTAACACATTTTTCCTCATCTGTCACTGTAATTCTTTTGTTTTTTTTGCCATTCACATATGTCAGGGTTCATCATTACCATGATGACGCATCTTTTTAAAAGACTGCCTAAAGATGTGTTGGTATTTTATTCCAAAAATATATATTTCAGGTATGTTGGGCAGCCAAGAAAACAGCTGCAATTGTCATTATCATGGGAAATTTGAAAGGTAACTGTTAAAAGGGAGATACGTGAAGGAAAGAGAATGAGGAGAAAGTCTGTCTCAGGCAAAGACAAAAGGTTTCCCAAGGAGATTCCTAAAGGTGAAGTGCCTTCTGCTAAAAAAAAGTGCTTCTCTTGAGGAACAGTAAAAAAAAAAAAAAAAAAAAAGCAAGCATGATATTATATCATTTCGAACCAACTCACACACTTTCACATTTCTATCTTTTCTTTAAAAAATGCGTGGCCATGTATGTGTCTGGTCTTTGTGTTTGGCAGCTAACAGGTCTCTTATCAATCATATGATAAGTGAGTGTTTTCATTCAAACTGACCGACTCTATGAGCGCATCAGTTGCACTTAAAATAACAGGGACAACAGGGAAATTTATTTTTCTTTTTTGAAGAGCACTTTTTTAAGAGGCAGGGTTGCTTTTGTGGCTCTAGCCTAGCTATCTAGAGGAAGATTTTACAGTTCAGATTCAATTGATTTCAACTCGAAATCTACATTTCTTCATTCCTTCACTGATCTCTTTCCTTTTCTCACTGATCATGACAGTTTAGGTGGTTTGAAACTCAAGATGAGACACATTCTACCATGTTCTTACATTTGGAAAAGAAAAATAAAGTAAAACAAAATATCCACTTCAAACTATTTTTTTCTGGGTCACAACAAGACAGATAATCTTCACTAAAAATTATCTTTGATTTTTTTTTTTTAATATTATTACTTTAGAAAGTATGCAGTACCACACCTTTTGGCCTACTGATCCTGCCCTCTATACTACTAAATAGGGGATGGAAGGGGGATAAAAGGGGAAGTAACTGAAAATAAAAAATATGGGTTAATACATTGTTATAACTATAGGATAGGAGAAAAAAAAAGCCCAAATAAAAGCTGCTTCAACTTCTTCTCTTTTTTCCTTTTTGCTCAAAGGGGTTTAACTTCCTTTTAAGGCTCAATCAAAAGCTTTTGTGCGCTTTCATTTAAGGCTTCTAAGTGTTCATTTGTGTATTTATTTGTTAGAATTCTCCAACATTTTGATCGTGCCCAGTCAAGAACCACAGCCCGAAATATCCATGCTGAGCTGGGCAGGGCTGGGCCGAGGCCTGACTCTCTCACTGGAAGGCCTGGTGAAAGCGAGGCAGTGTGGTGGTACTAAGGCTGGAGCTGAACACTGATGGGAGGGGGTGCAGGGATCCAAGGCCCAGACCCCCGCTGGAGCTCTGCTGCTCCTGAGGTTGCGGTTGCAAAGAGGTAAGAGGTGCTGTGGCGACGGCAGCTGCTGCCGCGGCGACTGCTGCAACATGGGGCTCGGCAGCATGCAGAGATGAGGCAGAGGAGATGGAAGACGAGGAGGAAGTCGCAGATGAGGTGTAGCCCATCACCAGTCCTCCTGTGCTCATGGGTGCACTGTAGGGAGGCAGGTTGAGGGGCAGGAACCCCAGCAGGTGGGAGAAGTCCATGTTAGCAGCACACAGAGACTCAGCGATCATCGCAGGGCTCTTGGACAGGAGGGGATCCCCGCAAAGCTCATCCGTCAGGCCCGAGGTGGGCTCCAGTCCGTCCTTGTGGGGCGAGGCAGCAGTGTGGGGCTCTACAGAGGGAACTGGGCCTGGCGAACCACTCTGCAGATCCATGAGGAAACTCTCCATCTCCACTTTCAAGGGCTTGTCCAGCAGGTATGAGGTAGATCCCAGCTGGTATTTGGGGACTTGCTGGGGCTGGTGCTGCTGCTGGGGAGCCGGAGGTTGGTGGTGTGAGGGCAGCGGAGGGGAATGGTGGTGGTGGTGATGGTGGTGATGATGGTGGTGGTGATGGGAGTGTGGGTGAAGAGGTCCAGGGGATTCCATGTGACAGCCCATGCCCATAGCTGCAGACAAGGAAGTGGGCATTAGGGACGGGTGTGGGTGACCCACCCCAGAATTAGACATGGCCTGGAGATGGTGGGGGTTGTACATGCCCATCGGAAAAGGGGCCCCACTAGGGAACGGTTTGCCCATCATGGGGTCTTTGTTGGGACCCATGCTGCACATCATGGGGCTGAGCTCCTCCTTCACAGAGCAAGGTGGTGACCCGGAAGCTAAAAGACCTAACATATCAGGAGGCTCTGTCTTGATCTTCAGCAGCTCCTGCGAGTGGCTCTTCTTCACATGGCGTGTCAGATGATCCTTCCTGCCGAAGCGCTGGGCACAGTACTGGCACAGGAAGTCCTTTCGGCCTGTGTGGACCACCATGTGCCGTCTCACATCCTTCCGTGTGTAGAAACGGCGGTCACAGTGGTCGCACGGGTGTTTCTTCTCCTTGGTGCCTCCTGAAGACTTTCCGGAGTGGCTCTTGAGGTGCTCCAAGAGCACAGGCGTGCTCTCGTACGTCTGCATGCACACCTTGCAGGTAAGATCCCCTGCTGTGGCAGAGTGCATGGCCACATGGCGCTTATATCCCAGCTTGGTGTTGTAGTGCTTCCCACACTCCTCACACTTGAAGGCCTCCTTGTTGGGGTCATGTGTCTGCAGGTGGTTCTTCAGGTGGTCTTTGCGGTGGAACATTTTCTCACAGAACGAGCACTGATGGGTCTTCTGCGGAGAGTGTGTGGCCATATGCCTGCAAAGGAACGCAAAGACAAAAAGATTGTAAATGGTAGAGGTTTCATGTCAAGTTTGTTATGCAGTCTGCCGGTAGTATGCATGCTGTGTGAGACATGAATTCCTTTCAGTCAAACCTGTGTGTCTATATATACATAAATGAGTCACAGTGGTTTGTAGTAGGGGCCAAACTGGGTTTTGGAACCACATCCTATGATTCACTGGATTTCAAACATCCTAGTATCAGATGAGTTTGACACAATTCAGAATCTGAACTGATTATTTTTTGGCCACACACAACATTGACATTTTATCACCTAATAAAGCTGATAGCAACATTATTAGCAAACAGTTGCTTATTTACACATACAGCAGTTAGGGAGCCATGTCAGCATTCGTTTGGAGTTGGGTTCTTGAATATAAATCAGATTTTTACTCTCCTTTTAGCTCTGTGCTTGTTCTCTACCAGGGTAAGTTTATCTTTCACTGAAAACAACTGCTTTCTGTGCCTGAATATTATGCTAATGAGAGTGGTGTACCAAAACAGTAAAGCTGCACGCCATGAAACCAAAGATGCTAGAAGAGGACTTAGGGGAAATGTTCCATTTCACATACAAGTTGTCATGTGTAGGGATATCGTCAAGGAATTCAATTCCCTTCCCACCTAGGGCTGCTCAATAGAATTGAGGAATTGTGGAATTTTTTCTTGGTTTTGCTAATTACTTTGTAAGAGGTACAGTGAGATAATGTTTTGTCTCAGTACCTGCTGGTACTAATCACTAAGCACTCACCCTCCTCCTGCCTCCTAGGTCTGTGATCCTGTTAACTGGCAACTTTCAGCCGAATAAAGTCGACAGTTAACATATTCAGCTGGAACTCACTAGTTAACACGGTCACTTGTTAAACTGAAACACTTTTGAGCCATTAGATGCAAACACCACAGCTGTGGTGAATTGGGATACTTAGTGGACCAGTCTGTGTCTTCTACTACAAGGCTGCTGGTGTTTCCAGAGCAAGTGAGGCTTCCTTCTGTATGGTGTTGAAATCCTTGGCTGTGAATTGAGGGATGCCAAGAAGCACTGTGTTTCAGCGCATCTGCATCTCTTCAGCCTTGTAGCTTTAGGACACTTTCTTGTCTTAAAAAACAAATACAAATACGTGCGGTTGTGGCGGTCGCTCGTCATGCCCTGCAGTTGGCTTGTCAATGTTTCAGTAATTCAATATTGTGTTTATTGCGACAGCCCTAATCAGCTAGCTAGAGATACTTGATTGAATTATTGCTTTCTGAAGATCAAGACTTTCGGGTTCACATAGTGAATAAAATTAAAAATTATCTCAATGGCTCAATGGGGATTCTGAGAAAGCAATAGAAGCCATACATCATCCTATATATATTTGTGTTTTTTTCAGAGTTTTTTTGTTTTTTTGCCATTAATCGATAGTGACCGGAAAGGGGGAGAGAGAAGGAATGACACGCAGCAAAGGGCCGGAGTCAAACTCATGGCTGCTGCAGCAAGGACTCAGCATTGGTAGCTCCAGCTCTACCAGGTGAGCTATCTGGACGCCCCCATCATGCTATATTTAAAAGAATGGGAATTTAGCGATGTGATTTAAGCGCAGTACCTGAAGAGTTTGTATTTGGAGCTGAAGGCCTTGGGACAGTGTGGCTGCGAGCAGTGGAAGGGTTTCTCTCCTGTGTGACTCAAGGCGTGGAGCCGGAGCTTCTCCTGTGAGGCGAACAGGGCCCCGCAAACCAAACACTCGTTCCCACTTGCTCTCCCTACCTCCTCTCCTTCTTTTTCTCTCTCCCTCTCTCTCTCTTTCCCCCTCTCTCGCTCTCTCTCTCTTTCTGTCCGTGGTAGCGGGGCGGCACTCCCAAACAGCTTGGCGGCAGTCCGTCGTCCCTCTTCCTCCAGCGTCAGTGCGGTAATACGGTGTGAGGCATCGGCGGCAGCAGCTGCCATGGCAGCCCTAGAGTGCCGCTGCCATGAAAACTCACTCGTGGCTCCCCTGCCTCGCAGGCTCAACGTGGGAAGTTTTGGAGGGGGGGTGGTTGTTGAAAAAAAAAGCTCACAGGAAGGGCCAATGATCCAGCGGGGACCTCAAAGTCCGGCAAAATCTGTGGTGAGATAGAAGGTGAATGCTTTGAAGCGAACTGTTGCCAAGTTAGAGGCAACATTGTGTTTGTTTTCTAAAAAAAAAAACAAGCGTTTACCTGTTAAAATCCTACTTGTCGTTTTGTCTCTGCACTCTCCTTCTCTCACGCTCTTCTTCAGTCGCTCCTGTCCTTCACTCTCTTCTCCTCACCCAGTCCCAACAGCTATTGTTGGCGGTGAGTGGGAAACACTGCTTTGCATTTTTACTCTTCTGCAAGGAGAGAGCAAGCATAAAGGTAAGTTAACATGAAGTGACTCCAGCGTCTTCTTATATTAAAGCTTTGACAAATTGTAACAAAAGGCAGGGATGTAGACCAGTGGTTCTCAACTTCCTTTGTGTCAAGGACCCACAAATTGTCCCTCACCTGTCTCATAAGATTGTGAAGAATGTAAAACCTCTGAACAGAATATTCATTGTTATACATTCTCTCACATCTAGTCAATGAAATAATAGTGAAATCAAAATATTCCCTATTTTCTGGGGATCTCCTGGTTGAGAACCGCTTATGTGGACAACAACTCAAACTCTCAGAATACAAGCCAAAAGTGAAACCTCCCCAGCCTATAATTCAACAGGCTTGACTTGAAACACAGTATGTCATTTGTAAATTCCACTTCAAAGGCAAGTTTCCTGTGCACTCACTAGGGGGAGCTGAATGACAAGTCTGATTGACAGGAACTGCAAAGGATTAACAAAAACATTTATTTTTTAAATGACGATTCTCAATCATGCCACAACAGCTTTATTTGTATAACCATATGTGAAGCCTTAATGCAACTACACAGTCTCATCCCTCATCATGTGTGTCTTCAGGTGCACAAAGACAGCTTTGTTTGTGTTAATGTGTGTACATGTATGTACTTGTTATGAAACTGGATAAGGCTCCTATAATCCTTGGGAAAACACAGAAACACACACAACCCCTGGGGTAGAGAAAGTGGCAGGTGGGGGAGGCGGTGTTTACGCCACACACTCCTACAACCAGCACTACCTGAACTTTGCAAATTCTTGACAACAGCAAAAGCAGGCAAAAACTTGAAAAAAGGGACAGTGTAACTGAAAACTGCACCGGACCTGCAGTTGTTTATTAAAATAAAACCACAAACTATACTAGCTTGTGTTTCCAAGAGATCGCTGAACTCGCTCCCCCTGTCATCTCTGCATTCCCTTATTTACCCCCAGTGACCTCTGTGACCCCTGCTAGCTAACACACCAGCTAAGTCCAAGGTTGAGCGAACAATGTTAGCCGTGCTAGGAGCTTCAGTCACGTGAACCGGCACTGTAAACACATGTGGGCATATGTGACAGAATGCGCGCGCACTAAGTGTGCACATACAAATGTAATGGCATCTGTGGTTTTCTGTGTGAGAGGTCAATGAGTTAAGAAAGACAGCTTTTGCAGATGCTTGTATTTACACAGAAATGCACAAACATGTTTCCACAGGTTGGCTAGAACACGTACATATGAGTGTGTTCATGTCACAAGATATACTTTAGCACATGTGTGCGTTCATGTATGTCTCAGTGTGTCCATACGTGTGTGTTTGTTCTCATAATGTATGTGTGTTTACAGCAGTGGTTAAGAGGAACTGACAGCTGTAGCGTTGTGTGGTGGTCATCACCCAGCAGGGAGGGTGCAGGGGGGTGACACCCATCCCATTGACCACCCTCAGGGAGCCCAGCTCTATTGTACAGCCTACCCACGTCGCACATTCCTGGCCTGAACCATGCCATGTCGCCCTGCCTCTCTCCTCCGCACACAACAGCACATACAACACACAGAGTTCTGGTCACGCCGAATGCAACATCATGTACACCCCACCTCCCAAGCCGGCATACTCAAACGCACTCACAAAGGCGCGCACACAGACAGGCAGATACAGTACAATGAAGAGAATCCACACTGTCAAGTTATAGAAATAAACCAAATAGAGCTTGAAAACAAAGGACAGCAACTACACACATGGATGGCCCCAGGCCTGAAAAAGCCCAAATGACTCATACTGACCTATGCAGTACTATATTGCTTGCGTTATATATAGATAACATTAAAACTCTGTCCTTTTCCCTATATCCCACCCTATATAGATTAAGTGCAGTACATTTCTCCAGTTTCAAAATACATAAGCCAAAAGCATCAGTATTCCACAACATGGCAACAGAGCTCCAGCAAGGATTTTAGAAATACTGAGATCATGAGTCCAGGGCCCCAAACACACCCCCAATTTAATTGACTGTCCAGTATTATCTTCTATACATTTAAAGGTCTAAATGCTATAATGCTGTTTCAAAGCATTCTACACATTGCCTGGACTCAATACTGGTAAATATTTTAAGATAAGATCGGATAAGAAAACCTTTATTTGTCCCGCAATGGGGAAACGGTGTACGGCATACAGAAAGGGCAGAACAGAAAATAACAAAAGCACAAAGAGTAGCTTATAAAAGATAAATAATGAAATAGAAAAGCATTGCACAGACTGGTGTCAAACTGGTGTTTTGAAGTTTTTACACCTTGTTGTGTAATACTATTGCACATTTATTTATTGGCCTAAAAGTAGTCAAATTTAAAGTCTACGTACGTATATTGTCAATATGTGTAAGCTTTTAATCTTATAATATAGCCTCCCCACATGTTGCCAAAACCCCAAATTCTAAGAAAATACTGAAGATAGGTGTCCTCGAAGGTAGTTAGTTGCCTAAACGTAGTTAAATTTGAACATACTGAGTCTAAAAATCATCTATGAAATATCAACTATATGCAAGCTTTTAATCGAATAATGGTAGAATTTCCCCAGTTTTATAAACCCTCTAAATTCGCTCAAGCCCCTTTAGTTCTGGTTCTTGAAACGGTTCTGTTTAATATTTTCGGAACCTAGGTGCTATCTAGTGAACCACCCCACCAATTTTAAGTGGAACCATCGTAATCAGTTGCATCATCAACAGAGGGTGTTGCACAATGGACATCGACCTGTAGATAATAACACGCCCACTTTGGATCCCAAGGAAAATATGCTATTTTTTTTGTTAAAGCTGGGAACCAACTTTTCAGGTCCCAAACCAATTTATTTTTGTTTAAAATGCTCCAAAAAACTGTAGGTGCGCCAACCAGAACAGTGCCAGTTCCCCCCTAAAAAACCCTGCTATATTTTGGTTTGGGGTGTCCAGAGAGTGGCATGGAGACTTTAAGGGGTGGAAGAACTATATGCTGGTGATAATTCAATTAATTTCAATTTTTTAACATATTATTTTTTAAATGAATGTTAAATTTGACAGCATGTGACACCAAACAGGTGGCCGCTGGGGTGGCCACCCCATGCCATCCCTCTAGATAGATAGTATAGCTTTGATTTACAGTATGACCCCCAAATTCAAACACTGGTCTCACAATAACAATACTAACACTTTTATCTATCTTTATACCATCGACATAAAGATGGACGACACGTCAGCTCTCCAAAAGTGATGCCAAAACATCTTGATAGCCCCCTGGTGGCTGGCTGCAGTAGAGGTCATAAATCCCACTGTCTTCATGTTATCAGATGGGACATGGGCCAAACTAAAACATTAAAGTACATGTAAATTTTTGTTGTCGGATAAGTTTGGTTTTAAGTTATTTGAAGCTATAAAAAGTGGGTTGGGAGATCACTACTGCGCAGACTCTGGTTCCAAATGGCGAAAGATGGCAGCGTCCATATCCGGAATATAATGGCTTAATTTTGTACAGTAAAAGGAAGTGGAGATGCAATGCATATATGTCAATGGTCTATACACAACAAACAAGAAAAAATTAAGTAGAAATAATATCTAATTTACATGATATCCTCTTTTTTCCTTGCACACAGATATCATAGGCGTCTTCATGTTGTTTCTGCTTTACTTTGATGATGTCTAATAATGTTCACAGCTTGATCCAGAATACTGTAAATCTGGAATTCGGCAGCTATTGTAGACCCCCTTTACTTTAAGAACGTAATCTTTGTACCTATCTATCAAGTGCTTCCTAGTTGTCAGTGTAACAGGTAAATGTGGGCACGTTCTTCTCCTCAGCATGAGAGACAAATCACAAAGCATCTTTTGAGCAAACATACCCACTCAAATCCGAACGCAGCCACCCACCAGAGAGGAGCGTTAAGGTATTTAAAATCATACCTTCTGCATTTTTAAATACTGTAATACCTTGATACCACTCATGCCTAACCCACAACTCTCTTTAACAGGGAAAACACCATGGCACACATCAGTCTGTTTCTTACTTGTGCAATAGAAGATTTGAGAAATATCTCTTTAAAACTTAATATACTAAGTATTTCACGTCAGTTTATAGGGTACTCTTTTTAAAATATTTAGTTTTGAAAAGGAAGCAATGTTGAAGTTATTGGCATATCATTTTTGTTTTTCAGTTTTATTACATTAGAGTAAGAAACCCCTATAGTAATCAAAGACTTCAGTATATACATGATGGCATTAAAGGACCAGTGTGTAGGATTTAGTGGCATCTAGCAGTGTAGTGTAGAGTGCAACTCCCTCGCTTCACCCTCTCCTTCCAAGCTTTTAGGAGAAACTACGTTGGCCGCAAAACAAGTAAAAAATTAGAGACCTCTCTATAAAGCCAGTGTTTGGTTTGTCCGTTCTGGGCTACTGTAGAAACCTGGTGGTTCAACATGGTGGGCTACGCCAATAGAGGTAACAAAAACACAGTCTTATTTTCACGTGATTATACACTAATTAAAACATACCTATGAGTATTATATTCTATTACTGACAATAGATCCTCCTAAATGTTACACACTGGACCTTTAAAATGTTGTACTCCTGACAGTAGTCACCATAAACCTATATAAAGGCATAGTCATGCAGGGAAAAAAAACTGTGATATACAGTGAAACCGCCAGAATCTTATAAAATAACATGATACAATTTTTTGGTCACACTGCATAGTTCTATTATAGGCTAAAGAAAGAGAAAAAGTGGACGGATTAATTGATATCGAAAATAAAAATAATCACTGAGTTGCAGCCCTAAATGTCAATAATAGGCAATGGCTGTCTTGTTTGTCACCTAACTACAAACGCTGCATAGGTAGTAGGTTATAGGTCAGAGCACATGGTGCTTCATAAGCAGGCTGCTCCACCAGCACAAACAGCACAACTGCAGCCATTTCCAACCACCAATCACACTTCACTGTCACTGTACTGATCACAAAGTAA